TAGGGATTGCTGATGCAGTTTTAAAAATCTTTGGTGTTTAGGCATGTGTGCCGATGTTGGTTTATCTGTCTATTGGTGTTGCTTTACTACTGTGAAACCGTTATATTCTTATTTTGGTTATTAATAAATATTTGGTTGCCAAAAAAAAAAAAAAAAGCTGCAGTGATTCCTTTAATAGTACGAGTGGTATATCTCTGGCATTGTAAAGTGTACATCTATCTATAATATTATTAAAACTCATGGGGACAACATGCTAACGACATGTGTCACTCATATGCCACATATGCACTACATGTCATTGTTACTAATTACATTTTCATTTAGTTATTAATATTGTTTAACATTAACTCTTCTAAATTAATTTAATCAAACTTATAATTTATGATGATCCGGGGCATCGCCCGGGTCAATAACTAGTTTAGTATGATAGTTCCTAATTTAATGATTCTCTTTTTTCCCCCTTCCCCACAGTGGCAATTCTGGTAACTAAGCTGAAGTGCTCAGAATATTCTGAATTTTCTTACGAAAAATAACGAGGAACCAGATAGTGTTACATGCTAATAAGCTTGTTGTCTTGATCCAATGATGTCTGAAAATTTTGATTATGCTTTAGACTCTAGAATGTACAATTTTATTGGTTGTGCTGTAAAAGTATAATAGTAACCCCTAATGGGGCTGCAGTTGCTTTATATATGCAACACATCACCTTCCTGGTCTTCTTGTTGATCACTGAATGACCAGAGTCATTAGATTCTTTTGGGAAGGGTGGATGAGATTTGATGTAACTATCTCTATGTATTAACTGAAATTTAATACTTTTACAGGGAATTAATGAAAAAATCGTGTCTTTGAATTACAAAGATTATGTTGCTGAGATAAAGACTGCTGATGCTCAGCTATCCCTGGGGGGTGGAGTGATTGTTTTGGTTACTGGTTACATGACCGGAAAGGATAATGTGAGAAAGAAATTTGCACAATCATTCTTTTTGGCTCCTCAAGAGAAAGGTTTTTTTGTCCTAAATGACGTCTTTAGGTACGTAGAGGATGAAGAGTCAGCAGTGCCAGCCTCAGATCCTGTTAATGTTGCTGTTGAACATGTGGAAGAAGCTCCGCAGGCATCAGAGCCAGGTGAATTTTGATTTTTACCTATAGTCTATAAATGCATGCTCATTGTAGTTTTGTTGAGAACTATATTTCATAGTTTTATTTGATTTTACTTTCAGAGCAGCCTCCTCCAGCTCCAGTCCATAATGGACCAGTTCCTGAATCCTCGTATGAGGAGGATCTTACTAATGAGGCTGAAGTATGTGATCCTTCGGATAATGAAGATGGGTCAGTAACTGAAGAGGAGGTTATTGACCCCCCAAGTCAGTTAAATCAGAGCAAGGCTGTAACTGTCACTTCAGAGCTATCTGCCTCTCAAGATGATGGACCCAAGAGATCCTATGCATCAATTGTAAGCTCACAGTTGACTCTCTTATTTTAATTATTTATTTTTTATTTTTTTTAATGTTGAACCTGTCTAAATAGCTGTTTGTTACAGCTGAAGGCTATTAAGGCCAATATATCACCTGCACCAGTCAAAGCACCTGCGTCTAACTTCAAGGTCAAGCCTCCAACTAGAAACCAGGAAGTCACTGTGAAACCTGCTCTAGTATCAGAGCCATCAGCTTCCACTAGTGAAACTGGTCCTGAAAAAAGCGATGTTCCTGAGGAAGGTGCTTGGTTTGCTTCTTTTCGTCTTTTTTTTTAAATTTTTTTTTTTTGCTATGTTTGTTAATACGGTAATAATGGTTATCAAAACTTTGTGATATTGAAGAATTCAGTATTTATTATATTTCATAGCAACAAACTGTTGTGTTGTAAAAAAAAGTCACCGCCATGACTGTGATGTTGTTGCGGAAGTTTCATCTCATGGGTGTTTGTCATATGTTCTTTGATAATCTGGAAAGTATCAATTATTCAAATTTATAATGTGTTACTTGTTAAAAAATCAGTCACTGTCATGACCGTGATGTTGTGGAAGTGTCTTCTCATGGGTGTTTGTCATATGTTCTTTGACAATCTCTTAAGTAATCCTTTTTATCATTGTCATTTAAGACTTTTGGTTCATATCTCTCTTTTAGGTTGCAGTTGAAGTAATTTTTGAACCATAAGATCTTTGTTTGATAAGAAACAAGAATTTTAAAACATGAGTTTGTAGTTATCTTTTATCTAAATCTGATGATTAGACTAATGGCCTTCATAACATTTGAAAACAGATGGTGCAGGAAAATATTGGTCTGTAATGGATGTCAGGTTGTGTTAAACATGCATTACAATTTACAAAACAGTTTTTGTGTACAAGAAATTGAAATATACAAAGTATAAGAGAAAGACCTTAACAGAATTGAATGGTTCAATTCAATTCCATTGATGCTACCCTTGCTATGATTGAATAAACTTTAGTTAGTTTGAGTTTCATTGATGCATGCACTGGTTATTTAACATTTGCTTTCATCTGTTTAATACTTAGAAAATTAGATATATTCTTGCATAGGTTAGGAATTACAGCTGTTTAAGATATAATAAGCATTAGAATGATTACAGCTGCGTTAAAGTTACATTTTCAAGAAACCTAGTTACGTTGAATCTCAAAATTCCAGTAGTGATAGCCTTGGAGAAAGATCAGATAGAGTTGTAATTAAGATGATGCATATGGACGTATTTCTATGAATATTGTGGATATATGATGATGATGATTACCGGGTGATGGTCATCTCTATCTATAATTTTCATAGCGGTCTAGTTTTGGTGTCCTTTTTCCATGGTTCTGAGTCGTGTTTTTGTCTTGTGAAGCTGAAGGTCACTCCATATATGTGCGAAATTTGCCACAAAATGCAACTTCTGCTCAACTTGAGGAGGTCTTTGCAAAATTTGGGCCAATTAAGCAAGGTGGTGTCCAAGTAAGAAGTAATAAGGTATCTGTCTACAAAACTTCTGTTAATGATTAGTGTTAATTTTCCAACCCTAATTAGTTCTAATATTGCATAATTACATATATGATTTTTTTTTTTTTTTTGGTCAAGCAGCAGGGTTTCTGCTTTGGTTTTGTTGAGTTTGAATCCGCGAGCTCCATGAAATCTGCAATTGAGGTATGATGCTCAAAAAGCTTCTTACAAATGTCATCTTTGACAGTGTTAGTCACCATGCTGTGTGTAGTTTATCTACTCTCCTGTACTTTGTGTATGGTAGACTATTGCTCTTCCTTCCTCTTCTCTCCCAATGGTAGGAAGAAAATGGACAGAACAATGTAGGAAATAAAAGTAGAAGAGTGTGAATGTATGGTGCTTAATATGAATCACTGATCAAGTCAGCAGCTTTTTTATCAGTGAAGTATTCTGGCAAAGCTTTATTTCTGGTTATGATGTAGTATAGGGACTGGTGATGCAAAAGAAAGAATGGGGCCAGTGGTTTGTGGTTAGAGTATTTGATCTGTCAATGTTGCTGGTATGGATGTAGTTATGGAGAAAAGTAGCTTAATCAATAGCTCAACTTGTTTCTAATTTCGATTGAGAAACTGATCGGAAGGCCTGCTGCGCCTTTCTGTAGCCAGTAGATGGATTGAAAGGTGGAAATTTTAGGGGTGCAACAATTGGATATTCTGCTGTTTCTTGCTTAAGTGCTTAAGTCCTCACTGTGATATTCCTTTTGCTTTACTTTGCAATTGGATATTCTGCTGTTTTTTGCTCTAGTGCTTTAGGTGGAAATTTATTATTAATGCAGCAGTAATTTGGACTCAATTTTGAATGTTGCATTTTTGTGACGATTTGCATATAACTAATTATTGTTTATGACACCACTTTCATTGATTCCACTCTTAATTGTATTTTTCCAGGCCTCTCCCATTTTGATAGGGAGCCGTAAAGCTGTAATAGAAGAAAAGAGAACTACAACTCGAGGTAAAATTAAAAGTTTCAGCCTTATATCCATCTCTCTTCTACAAAAAAGAAGCCATATTAAGCAAACTTTTCCCCTGATTTATTTTAAATGGGTGGTTCTGATGATAAGTGGATATTCATTTTGCAGTATCTGCTGCTGCAACTGCCAACAGCGGAAGAGGGAGGTACCCATCTTCAAGGGGTGGCTTTCGCAGTGAGAGCTTTAGAGGGCGTGGAAACTTTGGTGGAGGTCGTGGTTATGGAAGAAGCGACTTTAGAAATCAGGGTGAGTTTTCAGGTAAACCTAGGGGTGGAGCTGGAAGAGGAGCTGAGGGTTATCAACGAGTTGATCAGAATGGAACTGGAAACCCTGGTCGTCAAGGTGGACAGAAGTAGATGAGGAACAATATTTTGATTTGTTTGGTATACACGTGATGAGTTTTTCTATTAACTGTTAATTTAGGGTTTAGGCACTGCTGGATCCTTGATCCCTTCGAATGCGGCTTTTAATTTTTTAATATTTTTTTTTTGGTTTTCTAATATATGAATTTAGAAATTTGATTATTTTCCTAATAATAATGTGCCAATTTTCTCTTACAATTTTTTTGTTGGCTCATGATGACCTGGTTGCCGCTGTCTGGTGTATTTTGTATGATGTTTATAAACTCATGTTCTTCTCTATGAAGGTAGTGTATTCTGTTATTTTACCTATACAACAGAACAAAAATTTATTTATCTTTGGTATATGTGAGTTTAAGCTTACATGCTAAAGCGTATAGGTTTGGGATCCCTTTTAACAGAACGCATTTGGGGAGAGGGGATTCGCACCATATATGTAAGCTTGTGTGCGATGTATGTATGCACTGCTGCCCTGGGAAGTGTGTGTCATGTGCTTAGGGACATAGGGTGCATGTCATACCCGCGTTGTCCTTGAAAGGTACACCTAAGCGTAAGATAAATTCATAGCATCAAGTCATGTTTTTCTTGTAACACTTCCCTGCAATCCTGTGTATCTATAATATGTTCGTAACGCATGAAAAAATGAAAACCTTATGAAAGTAACTTCTCCAATTGCTAAAATTTTTCAAGGCTAAGATTGCATGCCTATGCCTTTCATGATCCTTAGCAAATGTATTCATACTTCCAAGTATATAATAGTTCAAGCAGTATAGTCTATGGTAAGAATAGATTGAACGAATTACATAAATACGCAAATAAGGAGCATATATATTTCTTCAGCAAAAATTATTCGATATTCTGTAGGTTTGCTACAAGATTCGAAGCAGCAAAAGCTGCAGATCCTCCGACAACACTAAGCAGTGCAACCAAAACCTGGACAGCTATTTCCCAGGTGTGATCCTCAGGTACCAGAAAAACGAAAGCAGGGCCAAGAAGTAAGAGCCCCAGGCTAAGCGTGAAAAGGGTTGATGGGGTTTCCGGGTTTGTTGCTGCTGATAATACACCCAACTCTTCAGCCTTTGACAAGAGACCTAGTTCCTCTATTGTTGTTAATGACAATCCTGCTTTCTCTGCTGCTGAAAGTAACCCTGCTTTCTCTGCCTTTGTCAGCAGTCTCAGCTGCTCCACCCGCGTCAGCAGCTTCACCGAATTACCCTGCATTTATTTTAGAATGCAAGAAAGAGGGTTACATGACTCTTCACCTTGCACCCAATATACTTTCCAATATGCAGTACTTAACACACAACACAACACAACACAACACACACACACACACACACACACTGACACACCCAAATTCCACATTCACAATTTTAAACCATACATTAATCACTAAAACCTTATTTCAAGAACTCCTAATGTAAAACAGAACAAAAACTTTCTGCAGTTTGATAAACACATTCATTAATTGAATGCAAAATGACTTCAATATTCCAAGGAAAATAGTATTTTACTCCCTTTGTTTCGCAATAATAAATCAAACTTTGATTTTAAGCCGTCCCAAATAATAATAAGTCCATAAGCTAGATACCAAATTTCCCATTATGTAACAATATGGTATAATTTCTATTCTTATCTATTAAGCTATTCAGGTATACAAGAATTCATAACCTCAAAAATGAAGAATGTTGCAAAATACTGTACATTCATAAAATTTTACAGCTCAAATATGCTGCAAATAATGAAACACGAATATTTTAAACTAGTGATGTGACAACTAATTTTGAGCCGAGATAATATGTTATTACCTTTTTAGAGCCAGTGGTTTTGGTGGACGATGACGAGTTGGACTTCTTAGTGGCCATAGATAAAACCTGCATTGCCCTTGTTCCATTGAAAGTATTATGAGAATAACATTGAAATTTAACAGCAGGAATTCCTCTACTGCTTAGTGCAGCTGAGGCTTCCATTTTGGGTGTGTTGCTGATGTTTTTGAGCAGAGTTTTGTGAATAATATCAGCCTTTAATTTAGTTTCTATATTTTGCTACAATCAAAAGGGAAAGGTTTGTTGAAAGGCAATCTCTATAGTTTTGCAAACGAAAATTGTGATGGACAAAGGATTTGTTATCCGATGCTGTTATGCCCACGTGTTCAGTATTGCTTGGCCACTTACATCTCATGAGCCCTCCTTCTAGCTTTTTTTTTTTTTTCTTTTTTTTTTTTGGTAAGAAACTGTTAAAAGTACTCGAAATAATTCTTATATAAAAAATAACAATTGATTGACGCAGTTAAATTTGACACATATCTTACATATCTAACAAATTACGAAGTATATACTTTCTCCGTTTTTTTATTATTGCACCATACATGTTGGGCTCACATTTTTTGGTAGTGGGAAAAATGAGGAGAGAGAAGGGTAAAAGTACAAATAAGGCCATGTGATGTTAACATAAAATAAAGAATCAAGTGTTAAAAGTAAGGGTATATTGGATATCTACACTTTGAACACACATATTTTGTTTCTTTAAATAGAAATGGTGCAATATTTGTGAAATTTCCTTAAAAGGCAAATGGTGCAATAATAAAAGAACGAAGGAAGTATGTCAATATTGACCTTGTTGTATATAATTAAATATTACAAAAAAATATTAAATAGTTGATATTACAAAATTTTTTAATTAATTCTTACTTTTTTTTTAATAGAAATTAATTCTTACTTAACAATATGTTTTTTGAAAAAAAGTAACAATAAGTTTTAGGATAATTTTTTTTTAAAATACTCATACTACTTTTTTTTTTAAAGTTACTATAACGTTGATAAGTTAATAGTGAAAAAAAATTAAACGTGTCAATTATTATGGGACAGAGAAAAAAAACAAGGTATATGACAAGCCTAATATGAAACATGAGTGGTGGGTTGTGTTGTGTGATTTGGTAAGCCAGGGGTTACTTAATTTTGTCCAATGAACTGCTAATTGAATGAGTGGTTTTACCCTTAAACAAAACCTTTAATACAATTAGCGGTTTAATGCAAACCATTAAAAAATTCGGTATTTATCTCAGGGTATTTTATGAAATTGCTTTATGATATTAGTATCTAATAAGAGTAAGCTTAGTCCTGTTCTCTTCATCTTAATTTCAATTCAGTTCAGTTTAATTCAGCTCCAATCAGTTAAATTCTTAATTTCCTTCTCTCATAAACAATTCCTTTCATCTCTATTTAGTTTAGTTCAGTTCAGTTCAGTTTAGCTCCAATCAATTCAGTTCATCTCAGTTAAATAAATCAAAACAGACCCTTAATTCAAAAAAAAAATGTTTATCAAGTGACAATGATAAATAAATAAAGCAACAAAACTATCCTTTTATAATTTTATCAACAACTCTAGACTCATATATATATATATATATATATATATATATATATTATATATATATATATATATATATATATATATATATAATATATATATATATATATATATATATATATATATAATTCATGATTTATTTACAATTTGATGATAAAACTTTGTAATCCCCTCCAAAATGGTTCAAGTAATTAAAGTGTTAATAAATAAAGGGAAATTATCAATGATACCCTCGTCGTTTTGACTTTTATCAATGATACCCTTCATTAAACTTTCATTACCAGCGGTACCCCTATAATTTTACCTTAATTGCTACAGTAATCATGATGTTAAACAAAAGTTAAGTTTGGTCATTTGACAGGTTTAATGGGGTGGGGAATGTGAAAATACTTAAATGCCCCTATCATTTAATCTCCCTCCAAAAATCCCAAAAGTTTTTCCTCCTTTTATTTCCTTCTTTCCTATATAACCTTCACCCCCTCTTTTTTGTTTTCATCCCTTTCCGATTTTTTTATTTCTATTTTAATATCTGAAAAGATTAAAAATTTAGCAAGCTAACATGATCATATGTAAATTGAGCATAATTCAGAGCTAAATCCAACAACACTTGTAAATTGTACACAAAATCAAACAAATTCCACAAAGGTGCATACATTACCTTAAACCTAACAATTTTAACAAAATTCTCAAAATTCACTAGAGAAGTAAGAACTAATCTTTAGAATTGCAAAGAACCGCTAAATCTTCAAGGATCTTGCTTCACTCTAGCGTTAGTTAGGGTTACTCAGAAGAAGAAGAACAGGGGAGCAATTTCAAAGAAGATGAACGATAAAATTTGAAGTATTATGGTGTTGGTTGGGGTTGGGGGGTATTAATGAGTGGGGGGCCTTTTTGTCAATCCAAGTCAGCCCATTAAACCTATCAAATGAACAAACTTAACGTTTGTTTAACGTCATGATTACTGCAGCAATTAAGGTAAAATTATAGGGATACCGCTGATAATAAAAGTTTGATGAAGGGTATCATTGATAAAAGTCAAAACTAATAGTGGCATTTGCCGAATAAGCCCTTCTTAATTGCTGCTATATTTGCATTCGATCGTTTTATCCTGAAAACCCTAAATCCTAAATCAGAGCTCCAACAATGGCAGACCTCCCAATCTCAGTCGACAGTATTAAGCAATTCTGGCACTCCCAGGTTCACGACCCAGAAAAGTGGGCTTTCAACATGGTAATCATTTGTATTTCTCACCCTTAATTTTTGCTTTCGCACTTTCAATTTTGTGGCTTTCTTCCCCCTTTTCTTCTTCAATCCATCTGTTTATATAAATTAATGTATAAAGTTTTGATCTTCGTTTCTATTTTGGCGATTTAATATACTTAGATTAGCAATTTTATGCATAAATCATATGTTTATATTGATTATTATTTTGCTATATTCTGTTTGACTTGGAAGGGGTTTACGATTATATATCCTGAAATTATGTAAATTTAAGGGGCATTTACAATGTTCAAATGATCATGTTTGATATTGTCTTCCTTTTGCAAATTTTTACGCGTTTGATTTCTTCTTTGAGAGGTTAGCAAAATTGTATAAGCAAGAAATGGTTAATTGATTTAGGTTAATATAATGTAAAAGTGGGATTTATTTGTATCGATAAGAATTGGCCTGTTGGTGGTGCTCTTATAGGATGTAGAAGGTTCGTCTTATATCCTGAATGAGGGATTATCTAGTTAGTTTCTACCCTCACAACCATACCCTGTACCTGATGTTTTAAAATTATGGTTTCCACGAATTCCACCCGCTTGGTGTTGCAAATTTGTAATTGCCGGTTGGTTTTCGTTTTCCATGCCCGGTTTGTTGTGTTGGTGGGATACTGGATCTACCTCTTACTGTATTGCCCTTTATAAATATTTATTTTTTCATTATATCTCAGGGTTGTAGATTAGTTTGCTTTCTATTTTAGTGTTTTGGCGCTTGACTTAATTGCTTATTGGTCTTTTTAATTAGGTTTTTAGTTTAGCTTTGGACTTCTTTTGGTTGTTTGGTCTTGGGGTATAATTCTCGTGTATACTAGGGATTTTGTTCAATTGTAGCATAGTTGTCTACCTCTTGTTAAGGACAGCATATGGAAAATGTCTGAACTTATTATATACTATTTCCGTTTTTTATTAGTTGACACGTTTTGACTTTAGTACTATTAACACATGTTCCTTTGACTGTATTTTGTGATTTATACGTAATGAAAAATAGTCATGTGGGATTTTGTTAGATTTATCACGGTATATATTTTCAAAATATCAACTTTTTAGAATTTTTGCTTATCGATAATTAGAGATATTAATGGTTGAATTTGTGCATTGGCAAACGTGACTAACGAATCGTGTCAACTAAAAAGAAACGAAGGAAGTATTTATATTGCCGCCAATTTTGACTGGGACTGTTTTTCTTAAGTCCCTATTAGTATGTGTTCTTTAGTTCGGTTTGCGTTTTCTGATGCTCCAGAAACTGGTTTCGTATAGGATAATATGCAAATGCTTGAGATGTCTTAGGAATGTAGGAGGTTTATGGTTTTGTTCTTTTTGGACACCCCCACATCACACTCTATTGTGGGAGGTTGGATTGGTGGAGGGAGCTTATAGAGTTATAGCCTTATAGGTAATCTGTTCAATAAAGCAATCTTTACTATGAAAGAGGATTTTTTTGATTGCAACTTGACCCGGAATAAACTCAGTGTTCTACATTTATTGTTTCACAATATTGGATTTGTTTGTTGCCTTTACAGGCCATGTTATTATTGGTGTCCTTGTTGATCTGTGGAGGCCTGGGGAAAGCTTTAATATCAGAATTACATTGTATTAAATTAGCTTCAATAACTTTTTTGCATTGTAGGTGAATAGGTTGTAATGCTTATATGTTTCTAATTCTGGGTCTGTTTTGCAGAGATTTTTGCGTGCTGCAGGAATGTTTGGTGGCTCAATCATTCTTCTACGAAACTTTGGAGATGCTATTGCTTTGTAGATGAGGATGATGGGATTTGAAGCGTGCTTTATGCTTTGAATTACAAACTAGTTTTCTATCTCTTTTAGCCTTTGCAGTATCTTAGTAAAGCTCAAGTCCTTTGTACTATAAGATTTTACTTTTTATTAGTATCTAGTTTTGGCCTTAGGCAGCATATACTATATGCTGTGCTAAGAGTTGTTACATTTTGGTTTGAAGTTTGAATTTAATGTTAGTTGCAAAGGTTACTTGAAACTTGTTGGCTTTGCTTTACCTTTTTTGGTTCTAATTTCAGTTGAATGAAATAAATCTTTGGTTCTGTCACCTTTTCTCTCTACCGCAATAGCTATCAGGCTTCAAAATTTGTATATTCAGAAGGGCTTGTACACTTTGCATGAGGATTTTGAAAATTTTGTTGTAGGAAACTGGCAAGGCAGCAACTCAAGAGTGCAAGGAATAAATAGACTGTTTGCTGAATTTGTTTTTACTCTATGCTCTTATTTATATACAGAACACAGCAGTCTCAGCACACCCTCAGAAATGGAGGGGTGTGACCTGTGCGCGGATGCCTCCTCTGTGTGTTGGGAGTACTTTTATAGACAAAATGCAGCAATTTGTATCCAGCAGATTTCCATTTAGGGATTAAATGTTTAATACACTTATCACCATAGAGTAAAGCATAGAGAAGCAGACCTAATATGCTCCTCCAATCTCATATTAGTTCATTTTCCGAGTATTTAAGGGATGGAGCTCATGATGAAGCAAAGCTAAACAAACTCAAAATCTATCAAAAGATTCATAATGTATGTGTTCTCTTTTAATTTAATCTATCAAAAGAGAACACATACATTATATGAGATCATAAGAAAAAGGTGTATATGATGGAGAAGTTTAAGCAAAACTCTTGAATGCCTTGCTCTAATCATTAGAATCATGCATATAGAAAATGACTTAGTATAAGAATTATGATCCATATAAGATGATACATAACACAACCTATTTATCTAGACATCTAGTGTTTTCTGTTTCATTATCATCCTCACCAGTCACCAGTAATCATTACAAGAGCAGCTCCCATCTTTGAAATGGTGAAACCTTGTACTGTCTCTTACAATTATTTCCCTCTCTTCAATGGCTGATATGAACTTCAAAGCTCGATGACAATCTCCACATACTCTCAGATTTTTAAAAACACGAATAGGCAAGCCTTTGGGCACCTTCATCAATCCATACGTGACTGCCAATTTCTCGCCGTGCCATAACAGCAGTTTTTGCTTCTGCTCCTCACCAACATCATGCAGTGCAAATTCAAGATCAGGTACATATCCAGCCAACTTCATTTTTATCTCAAGCTCACCGAGCTTTTCATGAATTGCGGGCAATTCTGGGTGTACTCTATCACTTGACCTAAACTCATGAACTGTGTTCTTTATCTCGATCCAACTGTAACCTGGAATTTTCACCACATTATTTTTCTTCATGGACTTCCAAACCCTAGAAACATTGTCCCAACTCTTATTAACAGCGTAAACATTAGCTAGTTGGACATATGCTGCTGCATTTGTTGGATCAACCTGAAGCAAGTTGTTAGCAGCAAACTCAGCTGATTCTATATTCTTATGGATTCTAGCAGCTCCCAAGAGGCTCCCAAATATTGCAGCATGTAGTTTGAAGGGCATTTGCTTTATTAAGTCGGTAGCTTCTTTAAGCTTACCAGCACGGCCTAGGAGGTCTACTATGCAAATGTAGTGCTCTCGTTTAGCCTTAACCCCATAATCCTTCTGCATTGAATCAAAATAGTGCATCCCGAGATCTACTAGTCCAACATGATTACAAGCTGATAAAACTGCAACAAAAGTGATCCAATCTGGTTTTACTTTCTTGGTTTTCATCTCATCGAACAGAGCAAGGGCTCTCTGACTTAATCCATGAGTAGCATACCCTGAAATCATGGCATTCCAAGTAACCATGTCTTTCCTAGGCATCTCTAAGAACAATTTCCATGCATCCTCTAAAACTCCACATTTGCTATACATACTCAGCACTGATGTCCCAACTGTCGTATCCTTATACAACGGAGACTTGTACACAAATTGATGAATTTGCTTCCCTAAGAACAATGCTGATAAATTGCTACAACCCAACAGAACACTAGTCAGGGTTAACGGATTAGGCTCGACCCTAGATTCTACCATCATCTTAAAGAGATTAATTGCATCTTCTGCTTGAGAATTGTCAACATAACCAGCTATCATAGCGTTACATGTTACTGAACTCTTCATATCCATTTCCTCATACATTTTCTCAGCCATCTTAATCTTGCCAATTCTCATATACCCACTTATCAATGCAGTCAGAGCAACCACACTCTTAAATGGATCTGTCCTAAACAACCGAACAGCCGTATCCAAATCCCCACTCTCTGCATAACCTGATATCATTGCATTCCATGACACGCTATTCCTCTCCGGCATTGCTGAAAACAGCCCTTTTGCTTCTTTCATCATCCCATTTTCTGCAAAACCCGAAACCATGGTATTCCAAGAAGCAATATCCTTAACAGGCATTTTCTCAAAAAACAATCTAGCACCATCAACATCTAAATTACGCAAATAACAGGACAACATTGTATTAAAGGAGAAAATATCTGGTTCAGGAATTTCATCAAACAGTTGGCGGGCTTCTGCTAGCGTGCCGGGTTTTCGAGAATACCCAGCTAACAGTGAATTCCAAGTAATGGTATTCTTAACAGGCATAGTATTAAACACTCTAAGAGCTGAATCTAAATCAGCTGATCTAATATATTTTGTAATCATTTTATTACAAGAAATGATATCATAGTATTGCCCATTAATATTAGAAAGATTAGAATTTGATATATTTGGTTTCTTGTAATTGGGGTGATCCAAATTGGAGGAATTTAATGAATTAGGATGAAATTTACCGGAAATTTGATCTGGGTTTATATCAATTTCTGGGTTTTGAGTTATGAAAGTTGAAAAGAAAGAAATTGGTTCTTTGATGAGAGTGAAAGTTACATAGAAAAATTGGTAAGAATTTGGTTTTAGTGAGAGATTGTGCATAAAATGATTCATTTTAGAAGATTATATGAATAAATTAAGATTAGAATTTGAGTTAGGATTTCAAAAACAGTAGAGAAAAATCTCAGAAAATTATTGAGGAATTAGAAAAATCAGTTGGAAGAAGGTGTTGGCGGGAAACCCACAACTTTTCGATATAGTTTAGGCCCTATCGGTAAATTTCTTGTTTATGGGTTGGCCTTCGGCATTTTAAGACATGTGCGCCTCACATGGGGTAGCAAACCGCTAGAGGTAAAGATGGCATTGGGTTAGGATGGCTAAAGAGTAAGGACACGACACAATCTAATGTGAAAAAAACATGGCACAAGTATAGGTAGATATAATATGACACAACCGCTAAAGGTAAAGATGACATTAGGTCTAGAGAATAAGAAAACGACACGATCTATTGCGAAAAAAACATGACAAGGTAGACATATTATGACACGTTATTGAGCATGTTGGGGCATGGGTCGGGTTTGAGCCTTTTTTTATTTTTTTTTTTTGTTTATTTTTGTGATGCATGTTATGCACTTATGCCCTGATCCAACCATATCTAACTTGATGTGCTGTTAAGTAATAAATGGAAACGAGATGATCTTCAAAGATGTTTAGTAATTTATATAGTATTATTAGTATATGTTTTGTATTTCATGTTACTCGTACCTAAGAAACTTTCAATTTCTACATTTTATTTTTAATAAAAAGTACGAAGTACATATTTATGTGCTATATATCCTTCGTAATAAGTGGCGATATACTTCATATATATTGTGCATAGGTGATCGATTTATAAACGGGCTTAAGTTAATTTTATTGTACGACGGTTAATCTGAGGGTAAAACTTTTAATTTGTAATGAGTTTGATTGTATTTTAATGTGTAACTTCTAATAGATATGTGCTATGAAGTCTAATAGGATAATCTTATACATTATAAGTGTTTTTTAAGATTAAAATTTGTACTAGAAAAAGGGTAACTTTCGCAGTAGATAAGAGTAACTTTTTAAATACTTTTACAATAACTTTAATCCATCATACAATAAAATAATGAAAGTCCGCCTTAATCAAGAATTTGGGTAGACGATTTTAACTTTATATTAAACACTGCGTGCTCAACAATATAGGCAATTCCAATTTACGCTATTCTAATTATAAAATAAAATTAGAAAATTTATCCAAACAAAAAAAGTTACATATAAAGTTTAGGAAATAAAATAAACACTGCCAGCTATAATCAATTTTTTGTTTAAGTGTTAAAACTTAAAAGATAGATTTATAGAATTTAGGAAATAAAATTAGTACTGTCAATTCTTGGATTAAAAAAGAAAATCCATAAATTTTGAGAGTCCTTCAATTTTATCAGATTATTAATCCAAGAAATTATAAGGCGGTGATAATTTGCTGTAATTTCCTTGCATATCTTGTATGCTACATCACCTTTGTTAGGTTTCCTTAATTTTTTTGTACTCCGTTTTATGCTTGGAAAGAAAAAATTTCCATAACTTTACAAAAGTTGTAATCCTCTAGAATTAGGTTACTTTAAGGCGGTTTAAGTTTCTCTATATATACACATAACAACATTACATGAAAGCCAACAAAAAATACACAAGAAAAAATTTACATTGATTCTTATTCTTAAGCAAGAAGAGAGAAAACAAAGAGTCTACAACAATGATCGTGTACGAGGATATCATTAGTGGCGACGAGCTATTGTCCGACTCGTACCGCTGCAGCGAACTCTTCAATGGGTGTCTTTGGGAGGTAGAAGGGAAGTGGGTTGTCAAAGGTGGTCACATTGATGTCGACATTGGTGCCAACCCTTCAGCCGAAGGAGGAGAGGATGATGAAGTTGTTGAAGACGAGGAGGGTGTCAAGGTTGTCGACATTGTCGATAACTTTAGGCTGCAAGAACAACCTGCCTATGATAAGAAGCAGTTTATTGCATGGGTTAAGAGGTACATCAAGAACTTGACTGCTAAGTTGGAGGGTGATAAGGCTGATGAGTTTAAGAAGAACGTCGAGGCAGCAACAAAGTTTCTGATGTCGAAGCTCAGTGATCTTCAGTTTTTCGTGGGTGAGAGTATGCACGATGATGGTGCTACGGTCATGGCTTACTACAAGGATGGTGCTACTGAGCCGACTTTCTTGTACTTCGCTCATGGTTTGAGGGGAGTCAAGCATTGAAGGGTGCGAGTGCTAAGGGACTATAGACTATAGTAGTGTTTGGCATAATTCTAGTCTTTTAGATTTGGTTATTCTGTTGTTTAAGTTTTCTTTAATTTCTGCATTATTTTGGTTAAATTTTGGTATGTACTCCGTATTAAATTTCCTAAACGCAATATAATTCTTACTTTCTTAGCATATATTGAAATTAATTTTTTTTTTAGGCTAATATCTTTAATAGTACCAGATTCCCTCAATAACCATATACAATCAGTACCAAAATGCCCTAATTGGACCATAAGGAAATAACAATTACTCAGATTTGACGAATTTGGCAAATTCTGGGTTTAGTTACACCAAATTTCTCAGAATAGCAGGAAAAGAGACCACGAGATTTCAAAAGATCAAGATTAAATTATAATTTCACTTATATATCTGATTCGTGATACAAATTTGAACCAATTTATAGTTTTATACAGGTCTGGGCCACATTAGTATATGATTCAAGTATATATGTTTATCTTGCAATAATCCTCCTCATTAAGGAGAATTGAGGGGGTCTCTGGCCCTTATTGACCACACCAAAGAGGCGAGAAGACCTTCACAGCAGTTCAACTTCCTTGCGCTGTGATACACACCTGAATAGAATACCGCGAGAGAGGGTCAGTTCTGTTTAGCAGTAAATTGCTTGATATTGAAGTTAAGACTTCATAATACAACACAGCTACGTAAATAAAGTATCAAGTACTACTCGTACTCCATACCTCATTTGATATGGAGGATTGATCAGTAAGTTGGTCCTTGCCATTCCACATTGTTCCTCCGGTTAAAACTTGAGAACAGCTGACAAGACTGACAGAATCAGTTCAATCTGCAAAAACAGCAAAACGCTTGAATAGTTTCATTTAGGCAATATAGATGTTCATAGGGTGGATAGAGTCTTACACTAACCAAATTGAAAATCCAATTTGTGAAGATAGAGAAAGGTGAGTGCCACACAAGAAAATCATAACATAGAATGAGCCATAAACTCTGACCTCGGTAAGATACAGAATGATTAGAATCAAGATACAAATGACAGAAAGCTAGCTTGAATGCAACAATTCCAGGATAAAGGCCAAATGAGTCTATAACTCGCTACAAGCCTACAAGTGACTGAAATTGGAAATCACATTAGTCATATTCTTTCAAAAAATGCAGCAGTCTTAATTGTTGCTACAGCCAAAGCTCCAGTGGTATTTTTCTTAAAAGAGTAAAAGACCTAGGATGCAAACTAAAACACTTCTTCTAGGACTGTTGTAACTTGCAAGGGTACCAAAAATTGATAAGAACGAAAGCCTCTTATGTTTAGTAAAAAGTTTATAGTTCTGTCACCTGCACTACAGATTGTGATAATCCAGGGAAGAAAATTAAAAAGAGGAAGGGAATAACCATGCACAAAATAACAGAGCACTATTAGATTAGCTAACAGCGGTCAAGCCGCTAAAAATTAGTATATGTCAGACACATGAAACTTACGTTGCAAAGTCTGTCACAATTAAAAACTTGTCACAGTAAAACACATGAAAACCAGAAAGGTAAATGCCAGAGCAAATATCTCAAAAGCTCCAAAATGTAAGGAACGTCCATAGCTATAGTGTGTGAATTACTAACAAGCATCAGAATCAGATACTTCACCACTATTGAAAATAGGAGTATATAAGAATACTTGAGCCATGTTAACAGGTATTGACCACTTAAGCCTTCTCTACACCCTCCATGATTAAATAAGAATTTCAAGCCACACCTCTATAAGCACTTTTAACAGGTGGAATATAAGCACCAATGTTCCCAAAATTGGCTATTTGGCTGTCCTTGCATGTCTAACTGCTAGGACAATATATAGTAATCCAACCACACTATTATTCACTAATACTTCAGACTCTAAAGTAAAAATACTATAAAGGTTTGGTTCAAGTTCGTTACAGGTTAGAAGATAGCTTATTGACAATCCCTAGAAGATGCAATAGCTGCAACAACTAATTACAATGGAGCATCTGAAGGTTAGCAGATAGCTTATTGAAAAACCCTAGAAGATACAATAGCTGCATCATTAACTAACAAGTAACTACAGTGGAGCAGTCTGGGATATGCAAAAAAACCCCAACCTTGATTTGCATGGACAATATACATATATGATATATGTTCCAAGCATTCAAGTCCTTATATACAATTGACAATATGGCCCAACTAACACCCTCACAGAAGGTCGCATAACATATGTCATACATCACAGCACAAAACTCTGCAATACAGCCTGATAATTATGTCAGAAGCATAAATGTGATACAACCATATAGTGCTGTTGCTGATTACTTGGTCGATTCAAGAAGTATGGTTAGTAAAGGAGCCAGCAAATCCTCACCCTTCCCTTATTTGAATGGCTCTTTCTGTTTTCTCTTTTTAATAAAATTGCACAATTCAAACAATACACCAGCATGACAAATTCATGTAGCTCAAATCCAAGCAACTATTCAGATCCATCCCCAATAAGTATGTGTAACAGCACTAGGATTAGACTAAAGTCAACAACATAATAATATGTATAGAAAATATCTGCCCCTAGGTCCTACAGAATAACAAGACAATGGCAATAGGTAGAAAAATGCTTCAATGTATCACTATGTCATAAAAAATGAGCAAAGTGCTGTAACTTGTAAGCATAAATTTTAGATGCTAGATCTTTTTTTTCTTTTTATTTTTCTTTTTATTTTTATTTTTTAATTTTTTAGGGAAACAGATGCTAGATTATTTAATGAAAGAGTCTCCCTTTGTTTACATCTCTCCAAGTTCATTGACAGTACTATCATGGTTGCAGTTTCAGGGTATTGCTGAAAGAAATCGAGAAGCTCACATTTCTCTGCATCTGCAAAATGTTGAATGCAACATTAGGGTGGACTTATGACAACAAAAATCAAACTCTTTGCTAATAATCAAAAGTGAGACAGTTGTCTTTGACAATTCAAAGTGAACACCTACATAATTAATAATGCATACTCCAAATGGGTCATGATACAAAGAAAAAGAAAAGTTTGGTGTGAGGCAAGCAAAAGGAACGGGCAGACAAACTAGAAAGGTAATGAAGAAGGGAATACTTCCATATTCTGTGATTACATGACATTCCGAAATAAAAATAAGTTATTAATTATTGTAATGCAGGAGACAATATGAAAACAGATTGAACAAGTAATTTAGGAAAGAATCCATCAGACCATCACCCTGTAAAATATTTCTTCTGAAATCTATTCTGTCCTTCCATTTACATGTCTTTCCTATTATACTGTCAGGTTATGGGTATTATTTCTGAAGCTCTTTCCTAAAGTTAGACTTTTCACATTAAGCTTCTATCAAACAAAGACCAGGCTTACATTTAAAACCTATAACAGATACATATATAACTCTAGCATGTAGTAGCATAGTTGATGAACCAGAACAGCAAGCTGTAGTATCAGAGTAAGACACTAAAGGTCCAGACAGTTCCGGTAATGAAATTCCTGTCCCTCCTTCAAAGAGCCCTTGTTCAAAATACAATATCAACACACCAAAGAAGAGAGGACAAGGGAGATGCATTCAGTTTGGGATAACTTTCTTGTTAATCATTTGAAAGCAGTAATGTGGATATTTGATATGCAAATCTTGGCACAATATAGGAACAGTTTTTAAGACCACAACAAAGCAAGGTACAAATTATGGGGAAAGATTAGTATATACCTCCCACATTAGTTGGATATATTGCACAACTTTTATGGCATATGTCAAGCATCTCAATACGGAAAAGCATGAAGTATCAGCTAACTCGGCAATTTCATTTCCTTCAACAGCCAACCCAACATGACATTGATGCTTGTAACATCAGGATGTGAACAGGGTCCAGCCAAAAATTCATGCACAAGCCCATCAATGCAAATCCAGCTACATCCACGGTGCTTTTTAACCCCCTGCTCCTTCATCAACCGCCTTAGGCCTGAAACTTCACTCCATTCATGATCATGAGCCAATGAATTAGATAGCATGACATAGCCAGCAGAATTTTGTGGATCAACTTCAATTAGTTTTCGGGACATGTCTTGAGTAAGCTTTCCCTTAAAATGAAGCAGGCAACCTCCAAGCAAGGCACCCCACACAAAATTATTAGGTTTAAAGGGCATTGATTTGGCAATGTCAAGGGCTTCTTCAATATGACCAACTCGAGCCAGGAGGTCAATATAACAAGCATAGTGTTCCAATTGAGGGGAGATAGAAAATTTTATTTTCATATCTTGAAAAATTTGGCGCCCTACCTCTAGCAATCCTGAGTGACAACATGCACATAGAATACCAAGAAATGTTCCACTATTGGGACGGAATCCACTGTTCAACATTTCATTAAAAAGGGTTAATGCTTCTTGTCCTTCACCATTCACAGCCAGACCCATAATCATGACACTATACGATATAACATCCTTTGAAAGCAAAGACTGAAAAACCTTTTTTGCTCTGCTCAGATCACCACATTTACAATACATGTCAACCATAGCAGTCGCTAAGAATGAGTTCGTGCACAGCACATTTTCCCGTTGTCGAGACTTCATGTACTCATGGACCCAAATACCAAGATCAATATCACCTACTTGAGAGCAAGCAGAGAGGACGCTTACCATAGTAACATGGTTTGGACTTGCATAAGGATCATCTATCATCACCCTGAAAAGACTCAATGCCTCCAGTGCACAACCATTTTGAACATAGGCACCAATAATAGCATTCCACGCTACCACACTTCTTTTACCATTATCACCAATTCTATCAAAAGCTTCCTTGCTTTTGTCCACATTACCCCATTTTCCATACAAATAAGTAAGCACCATGTTGATCGAGTCACCAGTAGAGCTAACAGGGCCATAGTCCTTTACAGTATCCGTAAATTTCTCTATCCAGTTCTCCAACTCACCAATACCAATCTTTGCACATGCAGACAGAACACTGACCATGGTTTCATTCTCTGGTGTTATGTTTCCTTTAACCATCAAAAGAAACAGCTGCAAAGCTTTCTCAGATGGACCAGACTTAGCATAAACATCAATCAAACAGGTCCAGGAAAACACCATATTTTTCTCAGGCATTTCATCAAACACCTTGTGAGCTGATATAAAGTCTTTTAGACCCTTTGCATATGCAGCAACAAGGCCATTGCAAACCGCTGAATTACCCAGAAAACCAGTTTTCATGATCTGGGTATGGAATTGATTTACATAGCACGCATTGCCAGAATGGATGCAAGCTTTAAGGAGGAAAGAAAAAGTAAAATCATTAGGAAAAAGTGGCTGCCGTTTCAAACGTTTAAAGAAAGAAACAGTAAGGGACGATTGGCTCTTTTCTTCAGACAAGATTCTGATTATGGCATTGAAAGGAAATATTGTTGGGGCTTGCAACTGTTCGAACACACGCAGGGCAGTTGGAACTGAGTAACGCCCAATAAGACGTGTTGCTATATGACTATGTTGATGGGCACCTAAACAGATAATTCGGGCATGAATTTGGAGGAGGTGACATCGAGAGATATTATACCCTTGTAGGAGGTTATACAATTCAAAGAAATCAGGTAAATTGGATTTCAAGTACATCAGTTTCTTTTAATCCTGCTCAATCAAATACCACGACGCAATCAACTTGATTTTGCTGATGTAAACCTTGATAGATATAGAGGCAGATTGAGGTGAACTCGGCCAAAGATTGGGTTGCAATAGAGGCACGACAGGAAATTACGCCGTGCAAATAAGCTGATGCCACAATCAAAATAGCTAACTTATGAACTCTACTTGATGTTATTCAAAGATTTGATTGTCAGAGAATTACCCAATAAAAATACCAAATTAAATCAGCAACCAAGATTCTCAGCAAGATGTAATTTGTTATTTTTAAAAAGCCCTAAATAACCTATTCAAGAATCTACATTTCACAATCCAAAGTCTCAACCTTGTTGAACAGCACAAACCCTAATTGTAAAATTGAAAACCTAATCTCAATCAGCCACAAATTCAGCTCAATCTTTGATTCATACTCATAACAAGAGAAATATCAATGAATTGTAATCGTAATTGTAATTGCATTCAACTATGTGCAGAACTCAAGCAATGCAGAAAATTATCAAGCAAAACCCCAAATTTACAACATTATACATTAATGGTGAAATGATACTACTCAAATGGATTTTTTTAATGAGATTAAATCAATTGAAGTTCATAAGCAGACTAATAAAGAGGGTAAATAAATAATCAGAAAGTTGAAAGCATTTTAAAAAAATTGAAAGTAAATTTGGGAGAATGAAGAACCTGAACTCCTGAATGAAGGAAGCAGCTTCAGTTGGAAAAGAACTGAAGAAGATTGATAGAGTTGAATCAGCTCAGAGATAGCTAGAGGGGGAGAAGTGAGTAGTTCTGTAGTAGTCCATAGTAAATAGGTGTCAATTTGAGTAAATAGGTCGGGTTCCGTTAAGTCGGGTTCAGCTTACTTCAAATTGTGTTATACTAAAGAATTATGTCCATATACAAGTCATAATTAGAGTATTTTTAGGGTTAGATTAGATTGGTCGGGTTAGTTTTTTACTCTTCTATGAGTTCAATAATAACTTGCACATGTAAACCCATTTTAGTACACTTTAGGTTTTATAGTGTCGTTAAACCATTTTATGGTATTATGATTGCTTGATTAATTAAATACACAAAATACTTGTATCTGTTTAAGTGTAAGGTAGTGTTTTAGGTTTCCTAAGTTTTGTAAACCTAAAACCTTATTTCCTACAATGAATTTGTTTGGTATTAACAAAGCTATGTATTGGTATTTGGTACTAATCTACCCATTATTTGGTACCACACTAAAGCTTACTAGGTACCTAACTATATAAAAATTGAGAATAAAGGTTAATCAAGTTGGTAGGACTGTAGGAGGCCCTTCTTCCACCACTGTAAGAGGGGTTAAATTTTCACCCTAAGTCCCTAAACAGTTGAAATCTCCGATAATCATATAGTCCGTACTATAATAAAAATAATTAAGGCCCAAACTTCTTTGAAAACTTTTTGATAAGTTAGGCCCAATCATTAAAGCAAATTGAGGAAATAAAAAAATAAAAAGCTGTTCGAGAGAAAGCCTCTCTCAACTCTCAAGTCTCAACTCCTAGTCAAGGTTAGTTACTTAGCTTAATTTTCCCTGAAATTAATTTTCATATATTTTTACTATTGTAATAAAGCATGGATTTTGGCTTCTTAATCTGCGTAATATATGTGTTGTTTTAATTAATTGTTGTATTTTTGGAGTAATATAGTTGGTTTCTGAACTGGGGTTTACTTGTTTTTTCAGATAATTGAAGATTTAATTTGTTGAGAGGGTCAAATGATGAATATTTATGTTTATGGTTATACCCAATTTGCAATGTTGATAATATTAAGCATGTCATAGCTGTAAACTTGTAATTTTGTGAAATTTGATCTGATTTTTGTTTTTCCATAATAAATATTTTTTTTTTGCTGACTAACCCTTTGGATGGTTTGATTTCCGGTGCTTTAATTCCAAAATTGTCGTCTATTTAGTTATGAAATGGCCAAGTATTGCTTAGTAAGTAAGTATATCGAAAGAGAGCGACATCGATCGATTTATCAATTATCATAGCTTGAGGAATTTGTTAATTGGTACCTTAGTTTAAAACAGTCCATTTTATTGATCAAGTTGATCAATCATCATTTCCTTCTTTCCAATATGACAATACACTGTTGATTAAATGCTACTAATTATTGCTTTTAAAGCATAAATTCGTTAATTATTAGTTTCACTCTTTTTGTCAAATTTACAAGAACCATTGAAAAACTCTTGTTAGACCATTTTTTTTAGAAGTACAAGTGTACTACATTTATTTTCCTTGAAATTGCATATAAACTGAATTCCAAGGAAGAATTATATTACGAATCCTACGTATAGTGTAATTGACTAATTGTACAAAGAGTTATTTGATAGTTTACTAGGACGGCTATTGAGGGGAAGGAGGGATTTCATTCACCATTGTGCTTTGAGTGTGGCCGCGTGTTAGTTTAATTATGTGGGACTTCTAAGATTCATCTTTGGGTACGTCGGTTGGTATTGAAAAGGATGGGTTCTTGGTAGCATAGCATAGCTCACAGCGTCTTTGTTTCATATTATGACTGGGTGCTTAAGCTTCAGGTTTTTCAGTAACAGATAGGGTAATTTTCCCACAGTTGAAATAACAGAAATTTGAGTAACATAGTTCCTAAGCAATAGTTGCGTTGATTTGAAAATGATTCCAAATCCAATAAACGGCAAAGGGCCTCTATTTGAGAACTTTGATGCACTGCTGCATATAGTGAGTCAACGGTTATTACCTTTAGTTGAAACTTTATAAGTCCTCCTGAATGATTCTCTTTGCCTTAAGTGAATGTTCACTCTTTCTGATAGCAGATACATGGATCGTTGGACTGGTATCTTAAAGGTTCCTGTTTGCCCAAAGGGTACTGCAATTTGTAGAATAGCCGCGTCTCTATGTGTTTCACCTTCAAAATCACTTCTTGTAAGTTATCATCTTATCAGAAAGTTAGCAACTTATTCACACACATCTTAGCTTAGCAAAGCTAGTCAATTTATACGATGTGAGTGCAGAAGAGTGTTATTATGGGTGGCTTGGTTCAAACTCAAAATGCACTCTTTCTTATGAGATTTTATTTTCCATATTCATTTATTGATATTTGAGTATGAAATTTGATATGATATCCAGGTGCCTACAGCGAATGTTATCTTCTTTAATGGAGATCGAGTTGGAGGGACTAACAACCCAGTGATTGAGAGGCTATCTGATATACAAAATATAGCTGACATTCTTGTGTCAAAACTTGGAGCTTCTATTAATGCATGGGTTATTGAGGCCCCTACATTCAATGGCCCCTTTGCTATATACAAGGAATTTATTCAGTCTCTTAACCAACGGGGGGAGCCTCAATACTATAGGCCTGATGGATTTCCAGCCTCCATATCTGTTATTGCACTTTTGTCAAATTTCCTAGAAGAGGTATGTCTGTTTGATATATTATATACGAGTAGCTTTTATCTTTTCTTTGTTTGCAAATGATATGTCATGTCATGATCTACAACGTCATGATCTACAACATAATTTTCTTCCTTGATTGATGTGATTACCTTTGAGAGGTGTAGCTCAGAAATTTTGAGATCATATGTAGTATGAGCATGAAAATGCAAATTAATATGTAATAGAGCAATCAGGTTGCTCTACTAGAATTTTATAGATTGTTGAGCTATGGACTATTGTGTCCTAGAGAAACACTTATTGGTGATATTTAACTTTTTCTCATCCCCCTCATCTGTGTACTTGGTTATTGTTTGCATAATTAGTGATGAGTCATTATTGGATTGTGTTAAGGACCGGTCATTTGCTTGTTCAGGTGGCGGAAACAAGTAACTAAACCGAACACCTTTTCTCCTATGGGCAATGAATCTTTCCTTAAATATTCATGCCTTATCCAAAATGAACAATCATATAGGAAATATGTAATTCTTGGTATCACATTGAAAATTTCCAATTCCCCAAACTAGGCTACTATGTTAAGATTATCTGCCTTTGCTTATATGCTAACATTGTCACAACTCACAAGGTTCTTAAATTCTTAAATCGGGTAATTTTCTGATTCATTGAACCATTGTAGTATAGAAAGTTTGAAACTACCCAAACTTGTTCCTTTGACTTACTTTTTCTTGGTTGGTTGGACACTATTTTCTCACATTTAGGATCTTCTGCTTCTTGTTAGAAATGTGGTGACACCACCCCCCCCCCCCCAACCCCTCTTTATTACTCTTCATATTTTGAGATATATTTTCCCATGCATGCCATTTTCCTTTGTGTGGATTTCTGAATACTTTTTTCACACTGCTGTGTGCTAAAGGTCTGCAATTCTGCATAGATAAGAATACAAAAGATTCACAGCACATTCATAAAATGCCTTTTTCAGGGTTTTGTCACTAGTTACATTACTAGAGGCACCTCATAAATAAGTGTTTTACTTGTTATGTTAATCCTCGGGGTTCGTTTATAACTTGAGCCTAATATTATTGAAGTGTTGAATTTAGTGAAAGATTTTGTGGTTGCATTACACCTAGTGTGCTGTCAATCTTGTGGCTGAGGTTGTGTGACGGATTTTAGCTCGACCGGCAAGAATTAGAATTAGTTAGTAGCTGTGATGGAAGGTTACAGTTGCAGATAGTGTTTTGTTAATTGGAATGCAACTGTGATTATTAATATGTTGAACTTCAAATCAATTCTTGCTATTTTAGACTTTTTTGTGCTTGTGTCTTGATGCTTTTGTTGGGCTAAGGGATATTGTTTGGTTAAAAGCTGACTGGCATCGTTGAAATTGATAATAACTCAAATTCATCTTAAAAGAAGAAATAATCATATCATTTATATGTACCTTGTGATATTTGGCTGGTTATGCAGGATCTAAACATGTCTCCTCATTTAGAAAATCTTGGTTTGGGGTTTCTTATAAATTTGCTTCTTGAATTTGGCTATTTTCAAAAAACTCTTTATGTTCATGTTACTATTAAGTAATAATACATGGATGTCCTAGCTGACTTTAGTAGGTTCTGCAAATATGCATGACTGCTTCCTTACATCTTAGTACTTGGAACTTTGGAAGAAAAAAGAGTTTGAGCATCAGCTTGTTTTAACTTTTAAGTGTTTCTGTTAAATCTTTAGAAGATTAGTTTATATGCATGAAATGTTTTAAGTATGCAATTGATAAAACAAAATTAGGGTGCATCAAGCAATGTGGCTGTATACTAAGAGAAACCATGAGTCCATTTAAAAGATGCAAAATAATAATAACAAAAAAAAAAAAAGAGCCTATTAACTTCATTCTTTTATTAAATTTGATGTGATTTACTTCTTCTTGGCTTATGAAATATAAACATCTTTCACCAAAAAAAATGAAATATAAACATGCAATCATCCATAATTAAGCTACTCAGTAATTCTGTATTAACATTGCTGAATATTGATGCAGATGCCTCAACTGCATATTCTAGCGACATGCTAATTGTTCTCTGATAAATTGTTTGCAGAGGGCCAAGCACATCAGTTGCAAAGAACAAGAACCCCAGCTCTATGCAGAACATGCATCCTCGTGTCTTCCTAGAACCTTTGTTTTTGGTTTTAGCAAGGGCGGCGTAGTACTGAATCAACTGATTACGGAGCTTGGATTTTCAGACATAAAAGATATGGAGGACCCACAGAAGCTTACTAGCTTCAACAAATTTGCAGGAAAACAGATTGTACCAGTTTCTAGAGAGAGCTTATTTGACAGCATAACTGAAATCCATTATGTTGATGTTGGACTAAATTCTTCTGGTGCTTATCTCACTGATGATAACGTCATTCAAAGAGTAGCAGAAAGGCTTACCAAGAGGGATAAAACCATGCGTTTTGTGCTTCACGGGACTCCGAGACAGTGGAGTGATGTAAGGCGGCCTTGGATACGGGAAGAAAAGGATAAATTTTGTCAAATTCTCAAATCCGAAGGGCTTAAGAGCAAGGGAAAGCTGGAAGTTTACGAGATAAATTATTTTACTGAATCATTTCCTAACTTGCAGATGCATTTTGAAATAATTGAAAAACTAGTAGTAAGTTGGTAAAACGGATATTATGTACGAAGTATATATGCTGCATTCATGTCATGCTTTTGAAAGTTATGCTTCGTATATTACTACGTATAATTGTATATATTAGCTAATGACTGAGGACCTCTATTGGTATTCTTTTTTATCAATTGGAGTATCATATTGACAATTTACGCCAAAATTTAAAATTTCTAATTTTTTACAAATTAAAGTCATATGGACGACAAACCAAAAAATTTTACTCTTTTTTTTTTTTACAATTGCAAAAAAAAAAAGGAAAAAATTAAGACAGCGTAAGACTAAAACACATCAAAAAAAAAAAAAGAAGCAGAATTAGAGAAACCGTTCAAGGTAACTCGACATTGATTTGCTATTTGGTGGGCGAGATTGACTTCTGTTCTATCCACTTTTAGAATGATGCAATGCTAAAAAGTACGATTACTTCCTATCTTGATAATTTCCTTCAAAATTCATAAAAGCTGAATGTCCGAGGGACTCTTGTTCCTTATAACTGTGACAAGTAAGGCAGATGTTAAGACTTTTATTGACCTATAATCCTGTTATAAAATTAAGGAAAATTGACAATAAAAAAAATCCCTTTTAAAAGCCTTTTGGTTTAAAAACCACCACGTTCATTTTTTTTTTTTTTTTTTTTCGCGAAAGGAAACCTATTTACTTAAGTACCCTCTAATTTACTTAATAAATCTCTAATTTCCTCCAATTTCTTCTAATTAAGCTCTAAACCAATATTTAGATTTAATTTCTATATAAAACAAATCACCACCCCCAACCACCTCCTCTTCCTCCCCCCTTCCCCCCTTCCTTGGTAGCAAGTTTGGCAACCCCCTTCCCCACCGGACCCGCAGCCCAAATCCCCACTTTTCGACGACCTACCTTCACCGCTGATCGACCCTCTCTTTTCCCATTATCTCCGCCGGCGACCATCACCTCAAGTCTCACCATTAGAGATGGTCTTTATAAACAATGAAACAATCGTAACTCAAATTCTTTAAACAAATAAACAGTATAAAACATGGACTAATTACTTCCTTGGAAAACAAATTGATTAGTTACAATTGGAGAAAGTTGTTGTACTTTATTATTTTAGAAAATCAAAATACATAAAAATCTATTTAAGGCCATATTTTCGAATAACCAACATATGCACTTTCCGTTCAAAAAAAAAATGGCAATTAAAATAATACTCAAGGTATGGATTAGAAATTAACAGCTGCTCCCAATAAGTAAAAATGTTAAACTACTCCAAAACTCAACAAAACTAATGTCTGAAAGTCAGTAAGTCACAATAACTAAAATTATTAGTACAGTAGTACTCCTCCACAAACCATACACTACCAAAAAAAAAGTTCTCAAGGAAAATAAGAAACACGAATATTCTGTCTTCCTTCTCCACCACATTCATCTTCCAATTAACACACCTTCTTCCTGAAAAAAAAATACAATCAATTTATTTATCAAAATTCAAACATATATTATCATATAAGAAAATTCAGTCATTTTTTATATAGTTTGAATTTCTCACCCCTTAGGGTCATCTTCAAAGAGAAAAGCACTCTATTGCAATTCTTCCTCATCAAGGCCTTGTGCTCCACTTGTCTCACCGCTTCTAACTGTCGGCACTATTTCAAGTGTCTGTTCGACATGGCTTCTGACAAATTAGAGAGAAATAGAATAGAATGGCTTGATTATTATTCATCAATAAGTTGAATATTTATACAAAACCTAAGCTCATAAGATATGAAACAATCTTCCTAAAACATATACGTCTAACCATAAACCCTAAAGTTATATTCTCAAAATAATATCTTAACATAAATATCCTAATTAAATATATTATTCTCTTAAATGATATCTACGGAAAATATATCACACATATATTTTCCGATATCTCTAACAGCTTCCGACCGTCTCACTCGGTGTCTCAACTCTTGGTTCATCACGAACCCGAGTAAAAGTGTAGTAATCACTCAAAAAATTCCATTCTTCCCCAATAAGAAAATCTCTAGAACTATCAAAACTCCCAATCGGAATTAAAATACTACTAGTATTATTAGTTGCAATATGAAACAATGATGGCAGATTAGGCTCATTTTGCCTCATTCTCATCCTAATCAGTTCCTCTCCTTCCACTCTCCTCAATTCATATCGCCCACAAATAACATTACCGCCGACCACAGAGTTGCTTATATGTATCTCCTCTGAAATTCTTGGTGTAGTGTATCTTAAATAATAATAAAACAACCCCATAGAAGCAGCAAAAGTGGTAACTATAACTACCCATTCTACCACATTTCTAGGAAAACATTGAATTATCGAGCAAATAATTGAAAGCCATGCAGCAATAGCAGCTCCTAAAAAGCCCGGCTCACTTTTAGGTTGAAATGCCATCAAAATCAAAAAAAACCCAAAAGATTACAATTGCTCCTGCAATTGCCCCATACCAATCATAGTTTTTGAATGCATTTGGGAGGAGAGACAAAATCAATGAAAGAGCAAAAAAATATTCTGTTGGTTGATAGTCATGGGTTTCACTAAACAAGTTTTTGAAAATATCTTTCTCCTCCAATCTTGAAACAATAGTGACATACCCAGTTAGTAACAATCCAAAACTCAAGAGAAAACATACTAATACAGCTATAAAATACTCATTGCCATCCTTCACCTCAGCAAGAAACCCTTTCCCTTCCGTACCCCCAATTCGGCAAACTTGCACTGGATTTCTTCCTAATAAGATTTCCCTAACAAACAAAATAATCCATACCAAAATCCAAGGAGCAGATAATCTCAAATAACATAGTCGATTCCAATAGGTATTAGTCTTAAAGAAATCTCTAATATTAGACCAAGTCTTTTGCAAACAATTCCAACATCCATTTCCTACATACCAACACCCATGACTTAAATATTGAAACAGAAAAACGCCCCACTCACCCACATAAGCAAAGCAACCGGCAATTGACATAAAAGCTTCCACGCTTATGAATGTGGTATCCATTGTAATCCCTTTCCTATAACATAAAATAAACGTATAAATACTCACATTAAAAAGTTAGTATACCCAAAAAAAAAAAAAAAGAATGAAGCAAAATAGGAGTATAAACAAAGAGAAAGAAAAGGAGTGACTAGTGACCAATGTGTCAGAGTAGATACTTTCATAATAGTAGTAATTAGTAAAACAAGCTAGTGACAGAAAGCATGAGTAGCTAATTGCTAATAGTATAGTAGTGATCATTGATAAGTGAAGTCAAAATACAATTGAAGATGATTGAGAAGCAAAAAAAGTAAAGTATGCTAAGTTGCTAACATGCATATTCATTATTCAAACACAAACACCTTCAAAAATCTTATAAACTTGATTAACTTACACATTAGTCATATCAGTACCTAGCTTTAATATAATAGTATGATTATATCAAATGCACTCAATTACAAACAATATAAGCAACTTTTCCTCTCTAGCTTCTTTGTTGGATGTAACATGTTGATTTTTTACACTATGCAACAGCAAATAGGATGTTTCCATTCAAACTATTGAAGCTAATAGGATGTATCCAATTTTTACACTATTAACAGATTGTTAGTCAAAGACTAGAGTTTGAGATGCATTGGATTATTTTGGCAAGTAATTTGTAACTCTGTTAAAAAGTTGTGAGGAGCCAAATGTAAATGGTTATCTGGGTAGTGGGTAGTTACCCACATAGCTCATCCTCCTGCCCTACACAACATCTCACTGAATTTTAACCTCTTATCCTCACACAATTCACCTCCCCCCCCCCCCCCTACTGTCGCTTTTCAACCTTACAACAGTTCAATTTTCATCGCCAAAAGTTTTTTGACAACAACAGCATTAACATATAGGATGACTAAATTAAAAAAAAATGTCAAATATTCAAGATCTGTGTATAGTGCCTAAATAGTGTTTTTCTTAAAATCTGTCAATAAAACAAGATCTGTTTACAAGCCCCCAAAATGATAGTTGCCTGCTAACAGACTGCAAAATAAGTGGGAAACATGTATTACCAAGTCTGATGTTCTATGATACTTAAGAAAGCTCATTATGATCCACAGATGCAAGTATATTCCAACAGTGTGATAACCTATTGAAGAGCAAAATGTTTTTTGTATATGATGATTTATAACACTATGCAACCGCAAAAAATTTCAGATTTTCAATGCTAAATAGGTTGAATGGAAACATCCTATTAGCTTCAAAAGTCAAGTACTAATTTATTTCAGATTTTCAATGCTAAAAGTCAAGTAACACTATGCAACAGCAAATAATTTCAGATTTTCCTCTCTAGCTTCTTTATTGGATGTAACATGTTGATTTTTTACAAATGAAATAAGCTTAGCATTGAAAAACAATCAAGATATTATAATGCACAAAATGGCAAATGCAATAAATTATTGCAACAAATAATTTTTGTTGCCCTAAACAACTTGAAAATCAAATATCCAGAAGCACAATTGTCATTGTCTGTTGACATTGTCATTGATCAACATGTGAACCTCTTTGCATTCAAAGGTCAACAACATTATCCTCTTCCTCGCAACTAGTTTTCTACTTCTAATGTTGTAAACATAGTATCATAGGTTTTAATATTAAATCTATGCTTTTGAGCTAAGAATTCATTGGGGCGTTTAATATGTGTGCCCCTTTTATATCATTGCATATTTCTCAATCTAAGTGGTAATATCCCTCTACACAATGTCACAGTTAAGCCCTTAATGAATCAATATACTAAAATAAACAAGAATAAAAAATAAAAAAAAGATGCAAGGTAGTAGCCATTGAGAATTTTTTTTTTTTTTTTTTAGCCATTGAGAAGTTAACTAAACACAAGTTTGCTATATCTAAAAGTATTAAGTCCCAAGTAATCAGACAAAATAATTACCCATTTTCCAAGCTAAAGAGAGCACGAAACACGTGAATAGTAACCCAAGGAACATTTACAAATCAAATCTCCATTAAGAACAAATTTATACAAGGTAAGAAAATATTACAATGATGGTAAATGAATCATGAAAATTTTATCAACCAGAAGATGTAATAATAATGCAATTTCCCAGAAACTCATACACTAAACAAACCAAAAAGTGCAAGTAAGCAAATATAAGGAGGAGAAAGAGACATAGTGAGTGACAAACAACTTAATTATTATATACGAGTACTTGTGTAATTGTGTTCACTCATAGTAAAGCTACAACCCACTTTAATAATCATTCCACAAAGGCACAGAGAACTAGAAAAAAGCCAAACACAAAAGGCCCATACACCTAGTACAGCAAAAATAAGCCTTATAGTAAAATGATATACTTGCACTTTGTGTTAATTATATACTAATACTATGACTAATGAGCAAGACAAACTAGGAATCCGTGGCTGTATATATGTTTGTATGAACTCTTTTCCACAAAGCCTTGTAATTTTGGCAGAACTTGATTTGCATTGATAATAAATTATGAGCCAAAATCAAAAAACACAATAATCCAAATTTTCTAAGTAACGCGTTACCCAACAATTACCATGACTTCGGCGGAACTTGATTTGCATCAATAATTATTCCGGCCTGTTTTTTCACCTCAATAAGCCATTCTTAATAGATTTTGTGGTAGCCCTAACCCATTACCGTATCCTATGAGGCTATGACCCCCCAATCCCCATCAATAAAAGCTTTTTGAACTCAGTACATTATTTATTTTTTTTGACACGAGTACATTATTTATTAAAAGCAACAAAATGTACAGAATTTAGACCTTTGTTTCTAAGTATTATAAAAAAGTTCAGGAGATTGCTGCTGTGGGGACTGGGATTTAAGGAAAATCTGAAAAGGGTGTGGGTAAATTAATTATAAATAAATAATGAGTAAATTTATGCAAAATCATCAAACTAAGCATAAGAGCAAAACCTAAATATAAGTCCAAATCTTCAAATTCTATTTTTCACCTAATTCTTCCAAAGTCCTTCCATTAAAAGTTCAACGCCAAAAATTAAGCAAATTATCCAAAAATGTAACAAAATAAGTCAAATCAACAAAAACCTATTTTCACCCCACATGTATAACATGACATTGTTCATAATTTTACTGCACCCACAAAACAAAATGCTAGAAAATGCAAAATATAGGCTAGAATATGCAAACAAAATACAGAAAGTACCCAATTTAGGAAATAAAGCAAGAAAAAAAAATAAAAAAAAAATCCCATTTTCACGTTACAAAAAATGAAAATTGCATTGAGGGTAGTGCAACAACGAAGATGAACAACAACCCATCTCAAAATAAATTATAAAAAAAGCTCAAAAAAATAATAAAAAGAGTATAATAATGGTGGGGTTTGAAGATTTTTACCGTAATTGGATTCTGTGGGTCACCCGTTCTTGTTGGATATTACAGAAAGTATTTGTTTTAGCAATATAAAATGGCAGATGAAGAAGTCTGAAGAGTGAATGCGACAAGAAAGTGGAGGAGAGAGAAAAGAGAAGAAGTGTATTGACTGGTGTGGACTAGTAATATTGGGGGGAACACTTTATTTATAGAGGAATTTCATTTTATTCCTTTACAACATTTTAGCTTTTGTACCGTTGTTTTTTTTTTTTTTTTTTTTTATTATTTTTTTTTTTTTTTTTTAGTATTAGGTGAATGCTTGAGAAAGGATCAAAAACTTTATATTTAGAGATGTAAATAAATCGAGCTGATCAATAAACTATTATGTTCGGTTGAATCTCGTTTATGTTTATTTATTTAATTAATAAAAGAGTCTTGCTTGAACAAATTTTAAAGCTTGTTTAATGAATGAGCTTCAATATAAATATACTCATTTATATATAGGAAAATTTACACTTTAGTGTCCCAACGTTTAAGTAAATTTCACTTTGGTGACCCATGGTTTTAATATTCACAATTTAGTGTCCTGTCATTAGATAGTTGTTCAATATTAATGCCTAATAGTTAACGGTGTTAAACTCTCCGTTAATTTTTTCTTTTGAAAAATATCAATATTTTTTTTATTAAACTAAAGCACTAAAGCTAAATATTAGCATTAAAACATAACCAGACCATGATATATATATATATATATATATATATATATATATATATATATATATATATATATATATATATATATATATATATATATATATATATATATATATATATATTATATATATATATATATATATATATATATATATATATATATATATATATATACTACGTGTAAAAGATGTCAATAATATAGTAGTGGAACTTCTTTCTCCTCATGAAACTAAGAGCCGTGAAACTAAGATTACAACTATTAAACAAAAAAATATCTTTAGGTATGCATAAATTGATTAAAAACAATTAAAAAGTCAATGTACTGCACTTTTAACATCATTTTTTGTAATCCAAAAAATTTCATGACTACATGCATGCCCAAAAAGTAATGTTAATAAAATAAAAATAAAAACCCTACAATACTATTGTTCAGTGAGGAACTTGGCGTATTGCGATGATGCAACTGTTGTAAGATCTAGTCGTTTGGATTGAGTTTTACGATTGCGGCATTACCTTCACCAATGAATGAGACAAATTTTATTTTATTAGTTTGTGATGAATTATGGAAATGAGTAGCAGTGTAGAACCTAGAGGCGTAGAAGTTAGAGGGAAATTTTGAGAGAGATGAGGTAAATGGGTTTTGGGGGAAATTTTAGAGACCCTAATATAATTAATTAATTATACAACTTTAGTTTTTTTTTCTTTTCTTTTTTTGTTTACGGAGAATTTAACACCGTTAACTATTAGGTAATAATATTGAACAATTATTATTTAATGACAGGACACTAAAATGGGAATATTGAAACCATGGGTCACCTAAGTGGAATTTACTTAAACGTTGGGACACCAAAGTGTAAATTTTCCTTATGTATATAGCAAAAGCTAACGAACGTCTCGGGGGCGTTGGATAAGATAACTAAAAAGGTTGAAATATTAATTTGAAATAAACATTAATTACATAATCGACATGTGATTTTGCTATGCATTATCAAATTAATACTATTTTAGAAACTATTTTAAAGGGTTATCTAACGTCCGGGGGCGTTCATTAGCAAACTCCTCTATTCACGAACTATTCATTTATTTATGTATGTTCATGAGCTACGTACTTTGATGTGATAAAATGTGATATCTCAGAGACAAAAAGTGCTCTTTTGATATAAATTGATCATTTTATAACTTTTAATAAGTCTAGATTAAATGGAACTTGAACTTGCACTTGGACATGAACATATACTCAACTCGGCTGTTATACCCTATTTGTAACTAGAGATAACAATGGATAGGATTTAGATCGGGCCTGCTCTCTTCAATTTAATTTTAGTTCAGTTTAGTTTAACTCCAATCAGTTCAGTTCTTATTTTTCTTCTCTCATAAACAATTCATTTCAGCTTTATTCAGTTCAGTTCAATTCCTATCAGTTCAGTTCTGTAAATCAGAACAGGCCCTTAAAAAATTTTCGTCGAAAGTCATTATTATAGAATTAATGAACTCATTAAATTTAAACCCACAAAAACTAAGCCTGTAAAATTCAAAACTAATTCGAACAAAAAAAAAATTAATACTCCCTCTGTTTTTTTTATATACATCAGTTTGACCGGCACATTTGCCGAGACGCAACTTTGGCCATTAATATCTTTAATTATGTATTAGTAAAATTTGTAACAAAATTATATTATGAAACTAGACATAATGACAAATCTAATGATATATTATATAATAACATTTATTTATTTTTTATAAGTGAAAAAATTAAGTCAACCATGGGTCCATGGTATGTGAATAGTGCAATTGTCAAAGTGATGCATACAAAAAAAACGGAGTGAGTAATGGCAAACATAAGATAAACGTGTAAATCTTTGTGTAAAAAAGTTAAAAATAAATAAGAACATTTTCTCATTATTTTTTCCCCATTCATAGGACTTTTTTTTTTGCCATTTTAAGCAACGTGAAGGTATATACATTGAATTCTAGAAATAAAAATACAAACTTTAACACGCAACTCAGAGAGACAGAACAATACGTATATACGTACATAGAATTCCAAAAATAAAAATACAAAATTTAACAGACATCTTAAAAAAAAAAAGAAAAAACTATAAATGAAGGGAGAGAGAGAATACAGTTAGGCCCCGTCCTTTAGAGCTGTTCTGCTCTGCTCTACTGAATTCTGTTTTGCTCTGCTCTACTCTGCTTAAAATTAATACTTAATTTTGAATTATTGTAATAATAAAAATTAATATTTATTAAAAATAAATAACTAATATTTAATAATAATATTAATAAATAATTAATATTTAATAATAATAATAATTAATTAATATTTAATAATAATAAATAATATTTATAAATAATAAATAACTAATATTTAATAATAATATTAATAAATAATTAATATTTAATAATAATATTATTATTGAAAATTAATATCTAATAATAATAATAATAAGTAATAAATAATTAATATTTTAATAATTATAATAATAATTAATATTTAATTATAATAATAATAATAAATATTAAATAATAATAATAATAAATAAATAATGATTATAATATTAAAAATTATAATATTAATAATAATTAATATTTAATAATTATATTGATAATAATAATAATGAATATTTAATAATAATAGTAATAGTAATAATAATAATATTGATTATAATATTAATAATGATACTTAATAATAATAATAATAATAATAATAATAATAATAATAATAATAATAATTGTTTAGGGTAAAAAATACCCTAACTATCTGGACCAATAAGAGGGCGCCACGTGTCAAAGGATGGCAAGTCATCAAAGACCATTCACCAGATACGTTGTTGTCCCAGAGCTTTACCAGAATTGCGGCCTTCAAGGGCCCAATTCCCAAGAATCTGCACTTTGCGGCGCAGCCCATCAGTCCGAATTAAAGGAGCACATTTTCCAACGACCCTATAAATAGGGAGATATTCCTCCATTTTGGGGACATCTGCAATCATTTATTACACACATTCTCTCTCATCAGAGAACACCTGAGCTTGGAATCCAAGCAGATACCCACCTAAATTTCCGCACTCTTTATTCCTTTTCAAGTTACTAACTTGACCGTCGGAGGCGGAGCTCCAACAACCGGAGTCTCCGTGTTTTTGCAGGTGCAGCTCGAGCCGGACCATACTTTGTGACGAAACTCTCCCGAGGGACAAAAACACCCAAAACATTAATTATAGTAGTAATAATAATAATAATAATTTCTTGTAAATTGATTGACTTTGTAGGTTTTTTGATATTTTTATAATAATAATAGTAGTAGTAGTAGTAATAATAATAATAATAATAATAATAATAATTGATTTTTTATATTAAAAATTAATATTCAAACAAATCAATATTTAAAGATGATAAATAATGTTTAAAGATAATACTACTTATTAATTTTTAATAATAACAATAAAAATAATAATTAATTATTATTATTATATTAATTATTATATTTAATGATTATAATAATAATGCGATAAAATTAATAATAGTAATAATAGTAGTAGTAGCAGCAGTAGTAGTAGTAATAATAATAATAATAATAATAATAATAATTAATATTTAATGATTATAATAATAATGCGATAAAATTAATAATAGTAATAATAATAATAGTAGCAGCAACAATAATAATACTAATGATAATGCTAATAATATTAGTAATAATAACAACAATAATAATAATAATAATAATAAAATAATCTACTTTGCTCTGTACGGCCTTACAGAAGTTGAAACCGTTGATGATGATACTCAAGAAAAGAAAGGACTTGTCATTTGTCAAGACTATTACATGGAGTCTATTGGGCTTAGCACATCGGCTTGGTTCCTTGGTGAGGTTTAGTCTAGTGAAGGTCAAAGTTTATTGGGAGTGTAATTTAATTTTGTTTGTCCTAAAGTAGATGTAACTAGCATAGTGCCCGTGCGATGCACGGTTTATAAATCAAATTATTAAACCCATAGGAAAAATAAAAATAAAGGTAATTCATTTACTATTAAAGGACTTGGTTACTAATAATGGTCAATAAAAAAAATTAAAGCCCGTCAAAAAAAAATTAAAGGAACGTTATTTGAATTGTATATTATGTTATTTGAATTTCTTTTAATTTTTTATAATGTTATTTTATTAATTGAAAAATAATTGAATAATACTCCACATAGGTATATAAGAAGTGGATTAATTTATTTATATCTCCCGTTGAGAAAAAACTAAAATTTTCTTATCATACCATTCGCATCAGTAGCTACAATCAATCTAATATATACATGTTTTATTTACCCGTCGCACTCATTAAATCTATATACACAATAATAACCTTATATTTGACCTACCAGAACATATATTTTCCTAAGTTAAGGATTGTGCCAAAAACTATATATTATATAATAGTCATATATATAACCAACAATTGATTAAATATAGTATACAACACAAATACTTCGTATATAGGTATGGATACTGATAATTTTATATAAATAAAATATACGGAGTATATATTACTAAGATTTATCCCTACCTTAATTATAAAATGGTTAACAAAACTCTTATAATAGTGCATGGACATTTATATATCTAAAAATGTTCTTTTTACATATATTTTCCCCCATTTAATTTAAAAGCCTTAAAATTGTCTCTTGAATTCGTTAAATTGATTTAAAAGGTTATGTTGATTTCAATATTTAAAGTCATTTACTATTTTCATTTCCTTTTGTTTTAATTTTTCTATTTAGAATTTATTAGACTATTAGGTTTCAAGATCGAAGTCAATATCTTTTTACCGTACAATTACTAAATCAAAGTCGCTCAACTAAAGTTTTGGATATTGCATAGCTACACAACATCCAACACATTTAATGATTACATGCAAATAATTTTAATAAAACTACTCATTCGATATAAGTTATTAAACAATTTAACTATACATTTTGATAGGTTAATATCTTTCATATTAACAAAAATTTACAAATGTTACTATTATATTTTGAAAAAAAAATTTAGACTTTGGAGTTTTGTATAAGATAGATAAAGGATAAGTTAATTCCCGTCATATATACATTGAGTTTTGGGTGTTCTATCCAGTTCACCCTTTGGGCTAATCCAGATTTGAGGATTTGTTCTAGGCTATTAGGCTCCACTCCCCTTCCGATTGTTGTTGCAGAGGAGCGAACACAGGTCCTCCCTACCAAGTGTAGTCTCAATCACCACTACACCAACAACCAAACACTTGGTATAGAGAACACGTGTTTTAAAATATTATATTATATACGTATACTTTTTTATATTATAAAAAATATTATATTATATAAACATACTATTATAGTTAAAAGTATTATTATGTATTATTATGTATTGCACATTGTTGCATATCTAGTATAATACATGAGCAATGCACGATTTTAAAATCAAAATGCTAGTTTTTCTAAAAAAAATCATAAGTAATAGCATTGTTAATACGAATATTACAATTTAAAACACGAGTAATAGTTATAATACATTTTATATCTATCATTTTTCTGTCAAATGTCTAATTCAATTTAACTTTTATTCTTCTTGTTTAGATTAATTATTGGTTTTTTTTTTTATTTAAAATGCAAGAAAAACAAAAGGCCATTGTAAAAGACATTGTATAGAAAATGAAAGGCCGATTAAAATTAAATTTTTGTTCAAGATTATATATTTTTTTCCAAGACAACATTTCAGCTCAGCATTCAGTATTTGTCAAGGAGTACAACAAACGATAAAAGTAATTTTTACACTATTTTGTATCTTTATCAAAAACTTTTGTATTCAACCGATTACTTGAATTGAATTTAGGATAACTTGTAGACTATTTTGGGTAATTTTTATCAATAAAGCATAAGTAACTTTCATTCATTACATGGTAGCTTTTATAATAGGTGCACAATATTTTATTGTACATCTGATTTTTTTTTTTAAATGTTTGTATTGATTTCATAATTGACGTCAAACTAAATTCTATCGATTTTATTTAATTTTCATAAAAAAAAAAATTAGCCTTTCAAAATACGAAATATTTATTTCCTTAATTATGCCACTTTAATCATATTGCTTCAAATTAGTTATTATTATTTAACTTGACTATAAATAAAAATTGGAAAGACTTTATGGATTATTTGTAGTATTGGAAAGTATATATTTATTATTAAAAATTAAATCAATATTTATGTTAGGAAATCATGAAAATCTTATACATGTATAGAAACTTGCTTTTATTGTTTGAAGTTTAACAAAAATAACTATGCTTGAATATGTAAACAGTAATTATATAAATATATTTTATACTTAAGATAAGCCAATGAGAGAGTGACATTTGTCATCCTCACATTGAGACACTTGTCTTTTAGTATAATATATAGATAGATGTTCCGTCATTAACCATAAATGGATCCCTAAAGGGTTGTAATGTATCATTAATCGATTAATAAAAATACAAAACCTAATTATGATAAAAGGGTTGTAAAATCTATCATTGTCAAATTGATCGTGGGATATTTTAAAAAAAGTAAAATACAATAAAAATATATATATATTTTTACATATTATCATTCCATAACATAATTGAAAGTTAGGCGATAATTTAAAAAATATCAATAACATAATACTAAAGGTGAATCTGATATGACACTTGTCATGTTTTGATTAAAAATTTTCCCGCCAGTTTTTACTTTCCTTTTTTTTTTTTTTTTTTTTTTTTTTTTTACAAATCTTCATGAATATTAATTTATATATATTAGAATATTTAACCTTCAATTTGGCAACTATATTATATACAAAGTATATTCTATATGTATTCAATGATAATAATATTTTAACTTATCTTTTATTATCAATAATCAATCAATCAATAAGATAATACTAAAAGTGAAATCTGACATGACACTTGTCATGTTCTGATTAAAATTTTTCCCGCCATTTTTTACTTTCCTTTCTTTTTTTTTTACAAATATTCGTGAATATTAATTTATATATATTAGAATATTTAACCTTCAATTTGGCAACTATATTATATACAAAGTATATTCTATATGCATTCAATGATAATAATATTTTAACCTATCTTTCATTATTTTATAATAAGTATTTTTTTCTAAAATAAACAAACATATACGAAGTAATATATTACAATAATAATGTACTACTCCGTATCATTTTGTATCGTTTTTTTTTGGAAGTTTTTTTTTTTTTTTTTTTTTGCTCCAACCTCGATTGACTCTTTAACTTTTATTACGAAGTATATATTTGTTGATTTATTTATAATAATAACACTACAATTCAATAAATAAAAATAAAAAACCTTGATTATTAATTATCACAAAAAAAAAGTCAATTAAATTTGTATAAAACATTATATTGGTCAAAGTAAGCTATAAAACATTGTGCCGGTCAAAACATGCCAACAAAATTAGGACGTTGAGGTATGTACATTGCACATGTTTCTCTAAAAACAGTACATTGCACGGGTTATAATTAATAACATAAAATTTAATTCTTATGTAAAATCCTATTATTTTTTTTTTTTAAAAACAAATGTTTAATGATCAATAACTTTTGACATCAATATAATATTAAACTCAAGTTTTGTTTTCCCTTTATTATTATTATTATTATTATTATTATTATTATTATTATTTGTTTTATTAAAAGAAATTCAAGTATCTATTTCAAGTTTTTGTTAATTAATATTGTAATTAAAAATTAGGTTAAGTAAAAACCGTGCATTGCACGGGATTTAAACTAGTTTTATAATATAATAAATTCTTATAAACATTATTTTATCATGTATAGTGATTGCAAAGGAAATTTGAAATAACCTTGTAAGAACCATGATTATAACCCACAATATAAAAACTTGGTTGTCTTTTCGCAAAACTACCACCAAAGAATTTTCAGGTTGTAATGTATCATTATTTCATTAACCAACTCACACAAAACTTAAGAAAATGATCAAAAACTAATTAAGTTCATGTGTTCTATGTGCTATATTATTTACTCAAATCCATATGCATGGGTTTTCACTGCAAGAAAACGAGATTTAATTTTTAGTGACTAATACTAACGCACTAGCTACTCCCTCCGTTCTCAAAAGTTTGACCCTTTTAGCTTAATCTTAGTATCAAAATGATGGACCCCATTTGCATTAAAGTACCCACCAATTTACAATAATATTTGTGCATAATTAGCTTTCCCATATTAAATTTTGTTTTTCCATGTACTTTATTACTTTCTCTTTGTACTTTTTTTTTTTGTTTTTTTTTACAAACTCCAAGTAAATTTATATTTCCAATATACTTTTACTTATTTCCATTCCAAAAAAAAAAAAAAAAAAAACTTTTACATATTTTTATTTAACTTTCTTAATACCCGCAAAATCAGCCCAAAAGGGTCATTTTTTCCGGAGACGGAGGGAGTATTTGGCAACACATTTAGTCACTACGAGTATAATAAATTAATAGTTGCTTAAATTTTAGGAAAATTTGTCGGGAATAATCCCACCTTTGAGTTGTCCGTTAAAAATAATCCGACTTTTAACAACAATCTTCTTTAAATGGTCCCAACCGGTCAATTAACTTGTTATAGCAAGTTACTTGAGACGTGTTGACACTTAATTGGTCTAAAAAATAAAAAAAAGAAGTTAAAAGAGAATTTTTTTTAAAAAAAATCAATTAATTAAAGGTAATGCTATACATAACCTTTAGGGCTATATATAAGCATTAACTTTATCCCTAACCCTTTAAAACTTCTCTAAATGAAATGAATAGCGATATAAGTCACAAGTCAATGAAATTCACTATTCTTAACTTGCAAAATTGCAAGAGTTTGACAATTTTGCATTTGGGTGCAATTTCATTTAATTTGTTGAGTCATCAAATTATACTTTCACGCTCCCATTCATATCCCTTCTTTCACGCTCTTCCTCTTTCTGAGTATTTTGCTTTTGATTGAAAAAAAACAAAAACAAAGCATTCTCTATCTCTCTCCTCCCACTCTCTATTTCTCCACCATTGACCATTGAAGCTGTACTCTGAGCCATCTCTACTCCATTGACGCAAATTCTGCGGTAAGATGTTTATCAAGTTATGAAATGCAACTAAATTAAGATTTGTATTGTGGAATTTCAGCCATTTTTTTTTATCAATCACCGAATATCAATTCTACAATAGAGTTCATTCTTAATTGAATTTAGGGAAGAAATCATATTAAGAGTTCATTCCTCATTCCCGGTCTAGGTTGCCTTGCGATTCCCCTGTCCCACTCAATGGCGGCAGCTTCAGGCCGGAGTTCAAAAGAGTCACACTACTAAATCTTCAAAGCTGCACGCATGTATAGGATGGATTGTGTTAAGATTGAGACCTTAAACTCTTTCTGTAAATTACAATTAACATGTTTGACACCTTTCTTTGTCTAATCTAATGCTTTTATTGCAGGAACTACTGTAAAAGGAGCTGTTGATGATCTTGATCTTGTGATACGGACTCTTGAAGAATGTGGCTTCCCCCACAATCGGTTCTATATCCACTGTGTCTGTGATGGAGCCTTGTTACTCGAGTAAGTAGTTATCTTTATTTTTACAATTTGTTAAATTACAAAAAGTGGTGACATTTGAGCATTCAGTTTAACACACTTGGTAATTGGTACGGTTTGTCTTTTTTTTTTTTTTTTTACGGTTTGTCTTTTTTTTACTAGTAAACAAGGGCGTGTTCTCTTCATCTTACTTTGACATATCTAAACTTAGGATGTTTTCTATTCAACCTTACTTATTTAAACTTATATTGTCTATTCTTGTTTTATTTGAACATTTTTACTTACACTTGATCTCAACTTATGAACTTGTTAAACTTATGAACAAGCTAAAATCAGTTGAGCAAACATAACACACCCAAAGTCATGGGTCTGGATTCTCATTATGATATGGCTGGCTGCTTGTTGGCCAAATTGATAGAAGCTGGTGGCTCCATCTTTTTAGGTTCATGTCTTTACCAGGGTGTTGCATTGTTGATCTTTGTGGTCATTGGGATAGTTCACTTTCCATCACACTTTATCCAACAAACTGGAACAAGATTTGCTTGTTCTAGGAGTTGTAGCCCAAGTTTTATTCCTCTCAAAACAGCTACTTTAATACAAAGTATTTTGGAGAACTGTCCAATTATCTTACATGCATGCTAGGCTGTGTCAATCTATAGCGCAAAAAGTTGATTTTTTGAACTTATTATTTTTACGTATTTTTGTGCTACTGCTCATGAGGCGTGAGTATTACACTATGCAGGCACCTCAAGTTACATTCAGGAAGCCCATTGGTAGTGTCAGTGTATCTGGCCACAAATTTGTGGGGTGCCCAATGCCGCACATTACACTCTGTCCAGTAATGTGGAGTATCTTGCTTCAAGGGATGCTACAATCATGGGGAGCAGGAATGGCCATGCTCCTCTATTTCTATGGTATAAATTGAACAGAAAAGGATATTGTGGTTTCCAGATTGAGGTTCATTCAAAAGTGCCTCCGCAATGCCCACTACCTTAAAGATCGGCTTAGAGACGCTGGAATTAGTGCCATGCTCAATGAGCTAAGCAGCACGGTGGTGTTTGAGTGTCCTCACGATGAGGAGTTTATCAGACGTTGGCAGCTGGGTTTGTATTTGTATCTTAATAAAATCTGGGTTTAATCTAATGACTAAATAATGATTTATCTGGTTTCAAAATAAATAAATAAAAAAAAAAGATTTATCTGTTTGAAGAATGCTGTGGTTAATTATGGGTTATTGATTCAGGAATTATTTGAAATGTTGTTCAGGTATCACAATGTGAACATCAATGTAGTAGTCCAAACTGAGAATGGTTTATATGTTCCAATTGTCCAGGTATAATGGTATATGATGCCTCTTACTTCTACTTAGGAACCATTAGTGAAAGCTATTGCTAATTGGATTTTTTGGCAGGATGCTGACAAGAAAGGTTTATCCAAAATTTCTGAAGAAGTTAAATATTTGGCCCAAAAAGCAAGGGATAGTAGCCTGAAACCTGAACAATATGAGGTAAAAACACCTTTAAACTTACTTTTATTATTGTCGTGGCCTTGATAGTGTTCTTATTTTTTTTTTTCCTTTAATATTTAGTTGGATTCTTTTGCTTGTATATTGCTCCAGGTGTTTGTTGTTACCTGTTAACGAGTAGTCTATAAAGTACTTTTCTCTTATGTAACTCTATGTGTTCAGCAAAATCAAGCTGGCTTTTGACATGTAAATTGACTACCTAATTACCTAGGGAAACTTTTACTCTTAATTAGTTGATTTTTGTGCACATTGATGTTATCAAGCTGATTTTGAAATTCATTATAAGAAACACTTTGCTTAATCTGTGACTGGAATTTTTATTGTTAAGGAATATGATTATGTGCGTTTAGCATAGTTACTAAACAATTTAATTTGAACAATACAACATTAACACGGTGAAGTTTCACGCGCCTCAGGGCCTCTGCATTTCCTTAAACGCTCTAGGCTTTGACCAGTATGTATTAGTTATATTCACTTTTATTGGAATTAGATTCCGAATTTCAAAGGATTGTGTTCTTAAGAATGTCCTAGTTATATTCACTTTGGTTATAGTCACTTTTGGAGAAGAGCTCACGAGTACTCATTGTTTGGATTCTTACTACTTGTGGGGAACAACTCATAGGAGGAGTCATTAACGTGAAGAACTTGGAAGAATTTAGGAGTACATGTCAGTGGTGAGGGCGAGCAAGATGAGGAGAGAATTTGACCAAGCAAAAGGTTAGCAATTGAGGTATGTAATATTTACTCTGTAGTCCGTACAAATTACAAAGCATGAAATTGGGTGGTTGGTAAACTAATACGAATGATTTAGTGTTTAATTTCCATTGTTCTTTGCAGTGAAAAAAAGAGTTCCGGAGATGAGAATATAATTATAGGATGGTAAATAAAGCATATGACATCAAGAAGCATATTATGTTGTGGTTTGAAGTTATGGTCTTTTCTTATGGTAAGAATCTTTTCTTTATTTTCTCAATTTACTTATAATTTCTCAATTAATTTTTAGTTAGTTTTCTGTCAAAAAAATAAAATAAAAAAATAGTTAGTTTAATGTTTTTATAAACAACCCTTGGTCTGGAATTTCTGATAGATAGGTTGTCATAAAAAAAAAAGGGTATTTTCATTTTTACCACCTTCAAATAATGACTTTGTCGAATTTACCACCTCCAAAAAAAAACATTTACTTTACCACCTCATAAAAAAATTAAACATCAGTTTTACCACCTCATCTGAGCTCAGGTGACGGAAAACGCTTGTGGGGCCCAGTTAACTGTCACTTCCCTCCAATTTAATTCTTTTAAAATCGATTTCCCTCTGTCTCCTCCTTTTCTCACCTTCCACCTTCCATAATCAATGTCTCACCAAATTTCTCACTTCCTCATCAATTTTCGTCTCTCTTTCCTTTGATTTTTCTTGATTCTCACTGTAACTGCTTCTCTCTCCTTTGAATTTTCTCTTTCTCTCTGTAAAAACTGAAACCCTAGATCAATTTGGGTGGTTGAAATCGAGCTGGAACCACAAAATTGCAACACATCAGCTTCTCTTGTCATCTTCCACAAGGTGAGGGGACCAAAAGCTTGGTAATTTGCTGACAGAAATCGAGATTCCTGACTACAAGAGGTACTTTAAACCCTTTATTAGTACATTTCGTTGGATTTATGGTTGTCAATTGGGGTAAAGTATGCCTTTTTGGGGAATATGTGAATTAAAGTATTATAAACCCTAATTATGCGAATCTTTGACTGAATTAGAGTGTGCATTTGTTAAATAATTAGTTAATTAGATGTACTTGGTTACTGTTAATTTAGTGCATAGTCAATGTGAATTGCTTTTACTTGCTGTAATTGGTGAATTGGTTTTTGTTGTTTACTGTAATTACTGAAATTGGTTATTGTTGTGTGTGCTTTTGTTGGTGTTGTTACAGAATGGACACAGTGAACTTAAAAATTACATTAGGGGGTGCCTTTATACCTTCTTTAGCTGGTAAAAATAGGAGGGTGTTAACTTGGGATGGTGGGTGGGTTTATTGGATGAGAAAGGTGGAAAAAAATAAGATAGATGTACACTTTTTGAGGCAAGCAGCTATACATGGGTTTGTGTATGTGAATGTGAAGGTTCCTAGGGGGTTTAGTTGCTGGTATAAACAAAAGGGCAAGTCTTGGGTGAATGGTAAAAGGGAGCTTGTTGATGGTGAGGTGAATGGTTTCCTAGAGTCGGTGAACAAAGAGGGGGCATGTGAGATGTATGTTACCAGTCATGAGCCAATTGAAGGGACTAACAAAACACCCTTCAAATGTATATCTGGGAATGAGCTAACCCCTGCACAAAGGAAGGAACTGAAAAAGAGGTTTGGTGGGCCTAAAGTATACAAACCCAGCCCAGAACTTAGTAAGCCCACTGAAGAAGAGCCATTTAGGAGAAGCCCTAGGTTAAAAGGCATTGTTATACATGACAGAGAGGCTGAGGAGAGGCTTCCTAGGGCAGAGAAAGTGAATGCTAATACACATAAAGGGAAGGGTAAACTCACTGCTGCAGATAAGGGTAAGGCTAAGGTTGGGGATGAGACTGGAAATTTAGCTAATTTAGTGAGAAAAATAAAAGAAAGAGTGAGGAGCTTAAGGGATGACAGTGATGTGTTTAGTGATGAGGATGGTGATACAGAGTCTTCTGATTCTGAGTTGAGTGATTTTGAGTTAGAAGTTGATGAGGGAGAGGAGGACTTATACTCTGATGATGATGAACAGTGGTTGAAGAAAAATGTAGACCATATTAACAGTGAGGTGAAAGACAGTTTGAGGGGAGTTAGTGAAGGAGGGGATCAAAGTGATGATGAGGACACAGGGTTTGACATAGAAAGAAATCTACAGAAAATTGAAGTGAGGGTTGAAGAGGAGGCAACTTGTGATTCTGATGAGCTAAAGAGTGTGGAAGGTGATTCAGATGATGATCAGGGTAGTGTTACTTGGTTTAACCCTGAGACAGACTTTGAAAGGGTTATCAAATTTGTAGTTGGTCAAAGGTTCAGTGATGTGCAAACAATGAGAAAAGCTTTGAGACAACATGCAATTGAAAATAGGTATGAATATTACCTTCTTCACAATGATTCAAAGAGGCTAACAGCATATTGCAAAAGGAAATGCAAGTGTGTGTATAACAAGAACAGTTGTAGGATAGTGAAGTGTACATGTAGTAAGGGTGTTAGGTGTAGGTTCAAGTTTTATGCAACAAGGCTTGTGAAATCAGAGGCTTGGCAAATTAAGACACTAAGGCTGAAGCATAGGTGTGTTAGGAGTAAAATGAACAACAAGGTGACAGCAGAGTTCCTTGCTGACAGGTACTTGGAGGAGTTCAGGGGCAACCCCAGATGGAAGATTAAACAGATTCAGGACAGGGCCTTGAATGACTTGGGGATCAAAATTACATACTCCAAGGCTTGGTTGGCTAGAAGCAGGGCAAAGCTTATAATATATGGCTCTTCATCAGAGCAATACTCAAAGGTTTGGGACTATGGGAAGGCACTGCTGAAATGGAACCCAGGGAGTGAGTGTAATGTGGTGGTGGATGATATTAATCAAATTGAAAGACCAATTTTTATGAGGATGTTTGTGTGCTTAGCTGCACTTAGGGATGGATTCATTTCTGGTTGCAGACCAGTAATTGGGGTGGATGGGTGCCATCTAAAAGGGGCATACCCTGGGCAGATCTTGGTTGCAGTTGGAAAAGATGGCAATAATTCCATCTTCCCAATTGCTTGGGCAACTGCAGAGATTGAGAACAAGGACAGCTGGTGCTGGTTTCTGGAGAGCTTGCTCAAGGCACTTTGTGTGTATGACCAAGGAGATGGCTTGACTTTTATGTCTGACAGACAGAAAGTAAGTGGGTTGTGTTTGTGTTTAAATTACTTTGCTTTTGAATTTTCTGTACACTAACTTGTTAGTTTTGCCTTGTGTGTAGGGTCTCATAGAAGCATTTGCAGATGTGGCCCCCAAAGCTGAGCTCAGATTTTGTGTGAGGCATATTTGGTCAAATTTCAAACTGAAATTTCATGGTGCAACTTTCAAGGAATTGTTCTGGGCTGCTGCTAGGGCAAGCACTCTGGTAAGCTTCTATTTAGGTTCTTTTATGTCAGTTTTATGGTGAACTATAATGTATGCTAGGAACATTTAGTTTTGCACATGGTTGTTGTTGTGTTGAATGGTTGTCATGTGTGTGGTTGTATCAGTTTGAGTTTGAAGTTGCTATGGAAAAGTATCAATTTTTTGGATGAAGAAGCATACCAGTGGTTGTCAAACATTGACCCCCAGCACTGGTCAAGGCATGCTTTCTCTACAAACTGCAAGTCTAACATGTTGTTAAACAACATGTGTGAGACATTTAATGCAGTGATTAGAGATGCCAGAGACAAGCCTATTCTAACTCAAATGGAATGGCTTAGAAGATATATGATGAAGAGGAGTAATGACAAATGGGAGGCAGCAAAGTCTTGGGAAGGTTTACTAACCCCATTTGTCAACAAAGTCTTTGATGGGTTGGAGAAGTATGCCATGACATGTGAGGTTACAGCTTCAAGGGATGAAATTTATGAGGTGAAATACAAGGATGATCAGTGCATTGTGGATCTGCAAGAGAGAAAATGCACTTGTTATAGATGGGAGTTGACAGGAATACCTTGTGTCCATGCATTTGCTTGCATAATGGACAAAAGGGATGATCCTGAGTTGTATGTGCACCCACATTACTATAGGGTGACATACTTGGCTGCATATGAGAACCCAATACAGCCAATGCCTGGCCCTAAGAATTGGGAAAAGGTCAAGCTCAGACAGCCTTTGCCACCTATGCTGAAAGTGCAACCAGGAAGACCTAAGGCAAATAAGAGAAAGCTTGAACCAGGGGAGGGCACTTCTGCTAAAGGTGATGAAACAATGCAAGAATTGTGGTGGGTTTGACCACTTTGCCAAAACATGCAAGGCTGAAGCAGCACCCGATCCAAAGGGTGGGAGGCCACAGATGCAGACTCCTTGGCTTAAGGAACAGCGAAAGAAAAGTGAAGAGAAAGCAGCAAGACAGGTATTTTGTGTATTTTGTGACTTGAGTGTATTTAGTGGCTTTGTTTCTGAGTCTTGTCATACTGTGATTGCAGGCTGCACTGAAGTTGCCACAATATCAGCCTCCAACAACAGCACAGGCTGGGTCAAGTAATGCTGCACCTGCAACTGCTGTGTCAAGCCAGCCTGCAACAAGAACAGAGCCTTTGCCAACTCAGCCTGTTACCAGGAGCAACAGGAGCCTGAGTCAGCCCACAAGAGTGCCAACAACTACTCCTCCCAAAGTCAAAATACAGACCAGGTCCAAGCTTCATGTAATGACAAGCAAGAAGGACAAGGATCTCAATCAACTGTGACCCTAGGTCTACTCATTAGTATTTTGTAATAGACAACCAAGTTTATTTGGTAGTTGAACAATGATAGTTGAACAATGATTTTGCACAAAGGTGCCTTAACTTTTGTCTCAGCCAATGTAAAACAATTTCAAACATTGTGTTGCAAGTACTAATACGAATTGTGATATGTTTCTACCAAAAAGTTCCATTTCTCATTGATGTTGTTAAAAGTAGTACAAGAAATGTCATCCCAACATCCACACATAATAATTCAACAAAACACAACATAAGTTGGGGATTTTTTTTGTTTCTAAGTATTCCTAAATGAACCTAAGATCTAAAATACATAGCCAGTACCAAACCAAAACAACAAAACACAACAATAGCATGTACTGTGAGCATTTTCTTTGTTGTTGCATTGCTGCCATGCACTTCCTTGATCATCTTCTTCCTGTCTGAGCTAAGAGCTTTGCATTTCATCTTCAAGCTGTCAATCTCATTGAGCAAGCACCTCCTTTGTCCACTAACATCATCAACTTCCCTCTTCATGTCATTCAGCTCTCCCTTCATTAGTTTCTTGTCCAGCAGCAAGTTGTTAATCACCTCTGTTTGCCAAGGTGTTCCATCTGGTTGATCCACCCACTCAAAAGCTTTACACCCCCTTGACTCAGTCACAGGATCATAGAATTTGCAGGTCCTAAACTTGCGTCCTGGGTTGTCCCTAGTTCAAGCAGTCAGCCTAGACATTGGAACTCCACATTGACATTTTTTCTCCTTTGAGGGTGACATGCTAACTGAAGACATTCCCTTCTGAAATTCAGTAAGAACAAGAATGAAATTAATTGTATTTGAACACAATCACCATAATATAACCCTAATTTCAGTAGCCAATTCACATAACAAAAACCCCCAATCTAATTTAATCTTACATGAACCCTAAGTATTTTAATTCAAATTGGGGTTTAATTGACCTCACAAAACGCCCAATTTCAATTACTCTTACCAAATGCAACATAATCACGCAACGAATTGCCAAAAAATTACAACAGAAATCACGAAAATTGCTAGAGAATTAACGACAATGGCTTACCTATTTGATGCTTGTTGTCGAGGAGTTCAATTGATTGTTTGATAATTAGAGGGTTTGGGATTGTTAAGGTTGCCCAAAAATACTGATTTGTGAAGAAAATCGCAAAAATTAATCTCCAATCTGCAAGAATTTGGTGTACAAATGAAGAACTAGGTTTAAATAAAAGGGAAATCGAGAGAAATTTGGGAAAAAATCAAAAACTAGCCGTTATGCTGGGCCCCACAAGCGTTTTCCGTCACCTGAGCTCAGATGAGGTGGTAAAACTGATGTTTAATTTTTTTATGAGGTGGTAAAGTAAATGTTTTTTTTTTTGGAGGTGGTAAATTCGACAAAGTCATTATTTGAAGGTGGTAAAAATGAAAATACCCAAAAAAAAAATTCAATTATTAAGTGTTGTATATTAAATACTCAGGTTGTTTGTTGCTAATTTACCCAAAGTAATCTGACTTATAGCTTTAACGTTGATCTATAAGAGGAGTCGCTATGGTGTGGAACGTGGAAGAATATAGGAGTGTTCTGGTCTTTGTTACATGGTATTTACAGCAAACAAGTGAGAAATGGAGCTGCTTTTCTGTTTCTCTCTCGTGTTCTATTAGGAGTGTTAGCTAATCAATCTTGAGAATTGAAACTGCTTTTGAGCAAAAAAGCAACAAAATGTGAGAATTTCATCCTCTGGGTCAGTTGATGTTTGTGTTTTTTCCTTTATATGTGATAATATTGACTCTGTAGTTTTTCTATGACTTAATTTTTATGATAACGTTTTGTGGAATTTGCAGATTGAATGATGAATTTTTTAGAAAATTACAGTCCGAATTGGGGCAGCTTCGTTTTGCCATGGCTGAGGTGCTACTTTTATAACCATATCTACCAAAGATATTGTAATTGACCTCAAATTAAATTATGATAAACTAATCTTACTTATACAGGAAATGGAGGATGGAGGACAGATTCATTGAGTTGGAGACTTGGAGGCATTGCAGAAGGCTCTTTCAGAAGCAATAAGGTCTGTTATTATTAATCTTAGATGATTTTTTGATGACTTTTTCTTCTGCACGTTCAACTCATGTGTTTAGGTCCTTCGCAGGTATGCAAATGCGTATGATAAAATGGAGAGTGAGCTTGTTAAAGCTAAGCAAAGTCTTACAAAGATCTTGCTGGAGATGGTTGAGCATAATGAGCTGAATATGTCTTTGGTGACACTACTCAATGAGAACATAGCAAGTGCACATCAAAGTGATCAGGTATGAGAGGTTCAAGCATTATTAGAAGTTACTTCGTAGAATGCAAGCCTAGAATTTCATTCTAAAATACATTAGTGGTGGATAACAGGACAAACCGCATTGATTAGAGTGTAGCTTATAAGATAATGAGTAGATGTATAAAACATGATTTGCCTTCCCATTTTCTGAGAACATGAGGGTGATACTCACTTTATAACACTTTTTGGAAGACATATTAGCTGAGATTCTCTAGAAAAATGTGGGTTATGTAGGGAAGGTACTTTGGTAGAGAAACTTTAGGACCAGAAAAACTGAATACTGATGATAGAAGAAAATTGCAGAAATTATGAACTTTATTCTATGTTGAGGCATCCTACTAATTGATTATTGCTAATGTTAAATGGTAGTGTAGGGCTTTCAGTATTAACTATTGTTTCCCTGCAATTCACCTAGAATTGACCAAAGGGCCAGTATAGGCTCAGCACGGCCCGACTTGGCCCTGTCCACCAAGTCACTTACTCTATGAATTATTTTCTTTGTTAAACCATAACCAAAAAACACAAGACTACGAGTGGAGCGAAAGAAAAGAGTTTGAGAGATATCTAAGGAGATAGCAGTGAGTTTTAAGAAAGAGGGAAGGAAGGGAAAGTGGTACAGTGAAGGAGTGAGAAAGTAGGAGGAGATTACTAAAATTACAAAAATTAGAAAATATGAAAGGGGAGAGAGAAAGGGAGTGTGAAAACAAGGGTCTGGAAAGATAAATAGATAGATTGAGGATATCAAGTAGAAAAAGGCCTTCTAAAATTCACGATCCGTAAATAAACGAGTAACACAAGGAGATAGAGCCTATAGAGAAAAAGGAAATGAGAAGGGAGGAGGGGGGGGGGGGGTGGGAGGAGGGGGGGGGGGGGTGGGAGGAGTAGAAAGTAATATAATACATTCTAAAATTTGCAAAGTCATAAAGGTCAATTTAAAACTCTACCTTTAACAAGACATAAAATTTGTGAAAAATCATGAAAGACGAGTGGAGTGAAAAGAAGAGTTTGAAAGAGATAATAGTGAGTTTTACTGAAAGGAGGTTTTAGTGAAGGGGGTAGGAAAGGAATGTGGGACACCAAGGGAGGGAGCAAGTAGGTAGAGCCTTACTAAAAATTACAAAAACTATAAATATGAGTAAGGAGAAAGTACATAAAGTAAAAGAAAACAAAAACATAAATATAGGAAATGTTAGTAGATCACAAACAATAATTAAGGTCGCTAAGTGTGTGAAGGAAAAAAAAGAGGGTAATTTGGTATTTTTATAGTGACCAAACAGATTATGTAAAATGAGAACATCAATTTGAGCGCCAAGAAAGAAAGATGAGAACTGTGGGGATGGATGGAGGGATGATCAAGATGAGCATGTTGAGGTGTAGTTTCTAGAAATGGCAATGGTGAAGGTACAAAAGAAGAGGTATAGAGATCTCATTATAGTATTAGACTTTAATCAATTGTGTTTAATTTTTTTATTTTTTATTTTTCCTAGAGTTACTGGCTTAAGATCTCATTAGACTTAAATTAGTCATATACAACAACATAATCCAATAGATGAGGTGTAAATTGAAATTTTAAAGATTTGATAGATTTTTAGTTCTTCGCTCGTATTGTGTTGATATTTTAACATATTTGTATCATGGTGCAAGTTTTATTTCTTTATGCTTGTTGGCGGATTGTTGGGAGCTATTAGGCAAAGAAGAGTGCAAGAGTCATCAATGGCACAACGCGGTAGAATCGTAGAGGTGGTTCGACATTAATACTTGATTGTGTCGGATTTTTCACCAGATTTTTCACACCATTACCGTAAATAATATTGATTTTGTTAATGGAGTATATACAATGTATTTTCTGTTGATTATGTTAGAGAAATGACTCATAGTTTCAAAACTTTAGTTTATTTATTCGCCTATATTTTTCAAATTGACTCGATGTTGACGTTCGTTTATTCATTTTTAATAGTCAATGCTAGAAAAATTTTCAGAAAGTCTAGGAAATGAGATGACTGTTGTTATCCTGTTGTGAATAACTTGCTACAAAATATATTTGAGAGAGACAGAGATGAATGAACAAATAATGAAGGGGTTAAGTGGGTAAAGACTTTATCTGTGACATTTAATTTGTTTTCAAAAAGTAGAATTTAAAAGAGAAATTTGGGGAAAGAAAGAGATGTGCACACCCTTTTTAAACTAACATGTGCAATATACAATATTTTTATAAAAATGTACAATATTTAGAGATAATTACATAATAAATACAGTACTACTAACGCCATCAAGCAATCGGTTGCGAGGTTGAGGTGATTGCGTAGTGGCATTGCCATCAAATCTCATGGGACTTATTTGAGGGATTTCCCTTATCTCCCCTCTTAAATGAGTCCCTTTCTACTTACCCAAAAAAAAAAACAAAATCAAGCAATAGATTGTTGTTATCATTTACTAACGGACCTAAGGGCATCTTTAAGGGTGAACTATTTAATTGTTCACAATGAATAAACAAATAAAGTGGTGGCTTAATGGCAAACCTTTAATGAATTAATTCGCTGTGGGCCCCACCAATATATTGGACTGGTATTATAGCAAAACGACGTCGTTTTGCTGTTTCATGGTGCAAAACGACGTCGTTTTGCTGTTGAAGCTCAGAAAAAAAATAGAAATCAGCGGCTGGGAGCGCGCCACTTGGCCCAGCCGCTGCTTGACACGTGTGCACTGTTTTAAATATATCCGTTGTAATTTTGCAACGGATATATTTTACAAAATACAAATAAAAAAAAAAAATTACCAACGACTCTATTTTTTTCCCCTCTATAAATAGACACCCATATTGATATATTTTTTTTCAACTTTTAAAATTCATTTTTTTCTACTATATTTTTCTCTTCAAAAATCCCCTCTATAATTACCAATATTATTATTATTTATACCAATATTAATATTATTATTGTTATTATTATTTTTAATTATTATCATTATTATTATTATTATTATTATTATTATTGTTTTTATTATCGTTATTATTATCGTTATTATTATTATTATTATCGTTGTTATTATTATTATTATTATCATCGTTGTTATTATTATTATTATTATCGTTATTATTTTTATTTCTATTATTATTATTGTTATTATTATTATTATTATTAAATTTTTATTTTTTCCAAATATAAATTATAATTATGGATGCTAATACCAACCCCAAAACAAATAGAAAGCAAAAAAAAAAAATTTGGGTCAAAATATGATCCCGAATCAAGCTAATTTTCCTCCAATTCACCCAAATTTTTCACAAACATCCACAAATATTCCCCATAATTTTTCTGGAGTTTATCCTCAAATACCCCAGTCAAGTTTCCCATATAATCCACCAAATTTCCTTCAAAATTTTAATTTTTCTCAAAGCAGTTCAAATTTCCCACATCCATCCATGATACCAATGGGATACGGTGAATATGGTGCTGCATCTGGTTATTTTCCGTCACAACAACCGAATCCCAATATTTGGGAATCGAGCAATGTCTTATCTGAAGAAGATGAGGCAAATGAAGAATGTGAGGATGATGGTGAGGGAAATGAATGAGTATTATCTTACTGATGGAATCTACCCTAGATGGGCTTCTTTTGTGAAATCCATTACGAGTCCACAAACTCATAAGGATCGTTTATTCGCAAAACACCAGGAAGCTGCAAGAAAAGACGTTGAACGTGCATTTGGGGTCCTTCAAGCTCGTTTTGCCATTATTAAAAAGCCGTCTTTGGCGTGGGATACCGACATACTCCACAATATCATGCTCGCCTGCATCATAATACATAATATGATCGTTGAAGATGAACGAGAGACGTATCAAAATAACGTTAATACCAATGAGTTTATGAATGCTGGAGGGAACGCTAATGAGGACACTACCGAGTACCGTACTGATCGTATTGTGGATATCGGCTTATACTTGTCTCGTAGAACAGAGATTGAGGATCAACAGACTCATTTGCAGCTAAAAAACGACTTGGTCGAACATATATGGAATAAATTTGGTAACAACGAAAACTTAGGCAACTAGGTTTACAACAAATGGTTATCCCTAAGGACATCTTACAAAACGATGTGTAGTTGTGTTTTTTTTTTAAATAAAATGTACTAGATTATAGTTGTAGAACTGTAATCACGATTTGTACCTCCTTTTTTTTATGTTAATTAAAATTAGCTGCGTTGTTGTTTAAAAAATATTAATCACAAGAATTAATTTTTTAAAAAGCTGATAAAAAAACGCGATAATTTCTTAATTAGTAATCACGATTAAAATATTAAATACGTCAATTAATTACATTGACATCGGTTAATAAATTATAATTATGAAACAAAAAGATTATATTTACAAAAATAAAATAAGGTGGGGTAGGGAGTATTGATGATGAACCATTGTTTAGTGTTTATTGTTAAGAGTGAATATTGTAAATGGTTTGTTAGGTTGATGTGGATGAGAGAGAAATGGTGATAGTGACCCATGAACCATTTTTTTTTGTTCACCAATAATGGTGCTCTAAGTACTATAGTCGGTCAAACATATCCAATAATCATAAATCAAATTTACATACATTTTTATAACTTTAGATATAATGACAAACAATTACATTAACTAAATTACATGTAGTAGCGTTGGAGGGGGCGCGCGCGTAGCGCGTGCTCCAACAACTAGTCTTGAAAAATGTATAAAGTTAGGAATTCATGATAAAAACACGCGTAAATCGGTGTAATTAGTGTGTTTTTGTCATGGTTTTCTAAATTTTAACAATTTTCTAGAGTAAATTAAATGCTTATATGTAGCCCTAAAGGTTATGTATAACATTTTCCTTAAGATAGGGTAATGCTATACATAGCTCTTAGGGCTATATATAAGCATTTAATTTTCCTTAAGATAGAGTAATGCTATACATAGCTCTTAGGAATTCATGACAAAAACACGCACAAAAGGAAGACTTTTAAATGACTATATAAAAAATGTAACTAACTAACTATTGTAATTACTTTCAATCTCAACCGCTTAAATATTCCGTATTCTGCAAAAACACATTGTAATTTTGTTTGAGTTATTTCTCAAACGACCACCAAAGATCGGGAATATTCATACAAGAGAAAATTCCTCAATGAAAATGCATGTTTCCTCTTATAACACACGAATGAATGAACGTAGATTTGTTTGAGCAAAACAACGTAGTACAATCAAACTAATTGCATTTTTCTTCAACCATCAAACTACGTAGTACATTAATTTATTCTAGTGTAGTCTTACAAGAGAAGTCGGTGAATCTTGGACCATACCCGATCTAGACCGCTTTTAAGAAATTGGATCCTATATGTAAATAGGAATATAGTCATATAGATTAGCCCAAAAGGTGAACCGGATGAAATAAAAAAAAAAAAAAAAAATTGAATATGGATTTGGATAGACACAGGCTAGCTGGCTAGGATTTAAATCATCGTTAAGCGTCGCCGTTTCTAGAATTTTAAAAATGTAATAAGTTCTGCATGAGTAATATTAGGGAAGCTTTGACCTATTATCTCGGGAAAGACAAAGGAAATTTTCTTTGATCTCCTTGATCTACTCCTTTAAAAGACAATTTAACAAACTTCAATTCATAATGTCCCTTAAATACAGTTTACATTATATTCTTATTTAGCTGAATTGATTGTTACCATCTCACAAATTATTTGAAATTCTCTCTGGATTACAGGCCAGGAGATCTTGGGAATGATTTTCATTACTAGGCCTTGTGACTTCCTAATTTAACACCAATAAAACAAACACAACACATTAACACGTACACAGACATAATAGTATAACCCAATAATGAGTAGCAATAGGAGTAGGTGGCATACGAAGACAGTGGGCATCAAGGCTCTCATCCTGCACATCCTCTTAGTTGCAAATGTTGAATATCAGACTAACTTGATCACTTACGCAAGGAGAACCACCACCATTCTCATTGGCATTTGTATTACCAAAGAATTCTGTTGGGCTTGGGTTATCCACATGGTACCGATCTCCTAACAATCAAAAGTTTCGGCATTTGTTGGGGGAGCATGATCTTCTTGTTTTGCATATGGTTGCAGTTCATTACCCTAAGTATTTGCACCGATAGAATTTCTGTCATGCTAGGCTTATTGAGCTTGGCAATTCGAGGATTTTGCTCAGCCGAAATACAAAGACTTTATTCACTGTACAATGGATACCCAGTCACCAACACTGGGTTTTTCAGATTTGTGATGGCTGCTTCCATTTGCACACAATTTTACATGGATGGCATCCAATCTCATTTTTGGATCGTTTCATCAACTTGTGCTGCACTCACTTTTCTTTACGGTACATATTTCCGTCCATCCGACGCTCATGATCAACCTCACAATTATGAATCTGAATCATTGCCTTTAGACCATGATCAACCTTCATGGTCTCTAAATATTATTCTACCCTTGGCTGAAAACATATTATCGGGTCTAATTAAAGATAAACACCCTAATAATAATGAACTTTTATTTCATAACTGACTACTATTGACTAGTTCTGATCCTTTTGTTTAGAAATTAGAGCATGCCATCTATTTATTTGATTTGTCACTACTACTCATCAACTCATCATCAATATAATAGTTTCTTTTTTTTTGGCAAAAATATAATAGTTTCTTAAGTCTTATGATTAATAAATGTTACTCTCTCCGTCCCTAAATTACATTTCTATTTCTAGCATTTATTCCTCACATAATAGAAAAAAGTAGGAATGTAATTTAGGGACGGAGGGAGTACACTACATGGAGTGTTAGTACATAGATACTTGTACATTTGTAATGGCTCACTTGGTTTAATAGTTTTGATATTTTCTACCTCACGTGATATTTTGTTGGCTAATTAAGCCAAATTGGAAATTTAATTTCCTAAATTTTTTATGTTTGGATAAAAAAAAGTATTATTATCACTTTAATTTTTTTTTGAAACAAAAAAAAAAAAAGTTAAAGTGAAACTGTTAAATATAGTATTATTATAACTCTAATTGAAACTGTTAACACTACTACAAAATTTGGATAAGGGACCCCAAATAAAAGACCCGTCATATCAATCAACAGGTTTGATTTATGTAAGAGATCTAATATTATAGATGAGTACTAGGCCCCACCACTATGGAGATTAAAAAAAAATAAAAAAATTAAGAGATCCGTTGTCAAATCCAATGGATCTCTAATATGTAGTAGGGCCAAATACTAAGGTAAGAAAATTAGAAAGAAAAAGGTAACAGACCAGTTATTAGACTTGATTTTTTAAAACTTTAATAGTCACCAAGTAGGCAAGTATTCATTCCTCTTCCCTGGATTTTTCATATGTTCTTCCTCGTTATTTCCGCCTAACTCTAATCTTTCTCAATCTCTATCCTCTCCAAGTCACACTAAAACAATTTAGGAAACAATATTAGCGGGTCGATAGCGGTGAAAAATTAATTGGCGACAATCGGTGGTTAGTGGTGGTAACGTTTGTATAAGTGAAGGCGGGTCGATAGCGGTGGTCGATTGAAGAACAAGAAGACTAGAAATCGTTACTGATATCTAAATTTGATAAAGGTATGTGTTAAAATTTTGATTGTCCTACTTTAATTTGCTCGATTAATTTGATATCAATTTGCTTTATTTTGTCATTAAGAATTAATGGATTGGTTTTTTTTTTTTTTTTTTTTTTTTTTTTTTTTTTTTTTTTGTAACTTCTTAAAATTCATGTATAATGTAGAATAAGAAGATACGGAGTATGAAATAAAGTGCTTTTTTTTTTTTTTTTTTTTATATAATTTCTTATGAATTACTAAGTACAAATTTCCAGTTATTATGGGTTAATTTGCTGTTGAAATGTATAAGTTTTACTTTAATTACTTATAATTACATATTTGAATTTTTGATGAATTGCAGATTTGAAGTACTTTATTGGTATGTTGTTGCAAAATTAAAGTGTTGTCTATAGGTTGTTGGGAAATATTGAGGTTAGCTACGCTTAGCATTGATAAGTTAGATTTCTTTGAATTAGAGAGGCTTAGAGATGTCAGATGTGTTACTAATTCATTTTTGTTACTTTATTGACTTATTGTTTTAATGGATGAAATTGAGATTAATCTTTTCTAAATTTGTTTGTTATAAATTGTCAATTGAACTTGCAGATAACATTGTAGATATCGTTGGTTTATTCGAGCTTTGAGGACTGCAAATCGACATAATATATTCCTCCTATTATAATTTTAGTTCGTATTTGTAGATTTCAAATTAGTTTATAAATGTAACTTGTAACAATTTCATTCAGATAATAAATTTTTTTTGATGATTAATTTTAAGCAATTACACATTCTTTTGTTGATTTGGTTTACTTACATTTTTTTTTTTTTGATCAAATTTAATAGAGTATAAAATTTCAAATTTCAAAACAAAATAGTAAACCGCCATGTTTTTTTTATTAAAATAGTAATCAAAGAGACCCCATTACTTTGATATGTGATCTATTATATATATGGCAGGGAGACCTCATTTCTTTAAGGACTGGTCTCTTCCCCTATAAATTAATTTTTATTAGTAGGATAACAGACCCCATTTCTTAAATATTGGCTCTCTTCTTTCTTAAAAACAGACCCCTTCTTAGATGCGGTCTCTTAATCAAATAGACTCCTGAGATAGAGACCCGTCCAAGTGCGGTCTCTAAGGCATATTTGAACTGGTGTCTTTGCCTATTTTTGTAGTAGTGTAAATATAGTATATAGTAGATGAAGCCCGTGCGATGCACGGTTTGTTAGTATTTTTTATCAAAAAATATTTTTCATATTTATGTGATTAAAATTGTTATTATATTAGTTTTAAAATATTAGATAAAAATTCCTAATCTTAAAAGATAATATTTTGTATTTAATTAATTTAAATTTTAAAATCTCATTCGCCAATTTTGCTTACGTGGCATTTGAATTCTTTAATTGTAAAAGAAATTAATAATCTCTTATTTAATTGACTACCACTTACATTTATAATCCTACATGGCGCGCTA